CCCCATCCCTCGTGTAGCAAATCTGTTACCGTCATCAACCTTGTAACAAGGCGGTGATAACAACTTGTTCCAGATTTGTCACAACATTCTATAATATATCGACTTGACAACAACTTTCGGTTGCAACTTGTTTGCAGATCTTAAACAACTTGCGCGAGTTTTTACGTGTGTAGTCTAAACGGGGCTTTAGTGCCTGTGTTTATTGTTGTTCCAGGAATTATCTCCTCATACGTTTGTAACTACTGTAATTTTTACTTCGAGATTCGTCGAATTATTGGATTCGCGTTCCACCAATCTAAATCTTTCTACTGACGACTTCTTGAACGGTGTGACAAATACCAGCCCGTTATTAGAGTCGCGAGAAGTTTCTATTCTGGAGCAGATAAATTCTTTAATGTTTCCACCCTGAGATCATGTTCAACCTATAATTGAAAAATGAACACATGGTTTCACTCTACGAACATGAACCTCGTACGTTTTATACGTAGACCTCTAGAAAGAACCTGAGTGTGGAACTGATAGAGCTGCCCAGTGTAAATAAAGTTAGGTTCAGGCTTCCTCCTGTAACACTGGATCAATGCCGGGGATGGCCCTTATTGGACTTCTAAAGGGAGAACAGTTTAGAATCGATAGAATTATCCAGTATGAATAAAGTTATATTTAGTTTAGTCTAGGTTTCCTCCTGTAGCAACACTGGATCAACAAGAGATGACCCCTACTGAACCTCTATAGGGAAAACAGTTTAGAATTAACCGTTAGAACTATATCTAGTATAAATAAAGTTTTGTTATAGTTTAATCTAGTTTTCCTCCTGTACGTAGCAACACTAGGTCAATAAAAGATGACCCTTTGCTATATCTCAAGATCCAACGGAACTGATAGAGTGATCCAGAATAAGCTTCTGCACAGGGGCGTAGGAAGCATCAAAACATTGGGGGGGGGGGCACTTTTGGATATTGAAAAGGGCACCTAACAAATTTTTCCCAGAAATGTTGGCGACGGGGGGTGGGGAAGAAAAATTTCCTCGCCATACTATACCGAAATTGTACGTTTTTGACCAAATTGTTTTTAAAAACATCCAATTTCCAAACAAAAAGGGCACCTTTGATGTTAATTTAGTGTTTACAGCGACACTAGCTTGTACAAAAAGGACACTTTTCATCACAAAAACTACACTTTTGTTTCTTTTCAGGGGCTCCTACGCCCCTGCTTCTGCACGTCCACTGCACGTCTACCGTATAAATATTTTATATTGGATTTGAGAGAATTTTTTTTAGTCAGTGGACGTGTGAATTATAAGGGCTGTTGGGAATAACCAGCGACTATATAATATCATTCAACAGTTTATCTTAGACACTAAAAAATACCTGTGCTTGCGTTTCATCAAATTCTAAATGACCAATACCAGCTAAGGTCTGAAGAACCAAACAGCCGAAAAATTTCACACAAACTCCGTTAAATATCAATGGACATTGTATATAAACCTAAATAAATAGCATGTATATAAAAGTCTTGTTAAAATATTAAGACATATCAAGATAGTATAGATTATTATCAGACAGAAAATGCCTCTCTTATCTTTATAACTTTATTTATTAAGTTATTCTATATATACACTATATACAAAGACTTATTATAAATTTTTTGTTTTTGAAAGAGTCGCGGTTTACACGTGGTCACAAAATTTGATCGGAAAGATACTTAATTTGACCAAACAAATTTCGAAAATGTAAAACAGTAACAAATTATCGAACACTGATGAAATATTTGCCATATTACCGTTTGATTATCGACTAAAAATAACCCAGCAACGACAACGTACTCTAAAATTGTAGCAAATATCTTTCTTATACAAATCTTCACACAGGATTTACGTCAGCAATGGTTAACCACGAAAAAATGAAACGGAAAGCCCCATGGCAAGTTAAAAACCTTTTCTAATTATGGAGATCAACTCTTTGTCACTCAGTAAACGTGGTCAACCACATTGAAACCGCAAATGTCGTTGTATATTTCACAGCCAGAGATTCAAAACTTTTTTATATGCGTGACTATACAATCTACATATTATTTCGTTTATATATTGGTGATGTAGTGATGTACTGAGCAGAATATCAATGTCGTGTCCATTGGTATTGTTTGATCTCGCACTTTTGGCAACTAAAAACGATGTTTTATAAGGCGTCCATTGGTTCATGCCAAAACAATTTCCTGTAGAAGCATACGAATGCCAGCAAGCCCAACCCTACATAATTGCTATACCTTATGTATTTTACTCCATATAATAAAATTAAAGACAAACAATAGTCGTAGACCTACTTTTCCCATCTCACAACTGAAATCAACAAATTCTGATGAAGTATAGCGACTACCAGCAACTTTTGGAAAGGACAGGAGCAAGTGCACTCCATTGCCAATAAAACCCTGAAGAATGTCGTAAAAGGTGGATTTTAGTTCATTAATTAAACAATCCATAAATCATAACAGTTTTTAAAATTCATGCATCTTTAGCCAATTGTCTACTTTAAAATTTGAGATGTTTCTCATTCCAATTAGAACTGAATGAAACTTATATTTAGAATTTAAGAGAGAACTTTAAAAAGGTTCTAATTTCACTTTCTATTCAAAAACTGAAAGAGAACAAGTTATAATAATTAATAACAATATATATTGCACGCTTTGCAATTAAATTCAAAAGTATCAAAGAAGACTTTCATGTTCAGAAATATAGTGCAGTGTCAGACCACAAGTCTAACTTTGCATGACTGCAGTTAACCATAGCCTTAAAGGATGCCTCTGCATAAAATATACAATAAAGTTAAACATGTTATTAAGCCTTGTCAGTTGATCAAGCTATGGAACAGAAAGCCATTAATGCATTATATATGTATTTCAACTTTAATATTAACAGAGTCTTATATAAAAAGAAAAGACGTTTTATAAAATACTAATAAAAAGCGAAAACATTATTACAGACAGCTACGGATTGACGGAGAGATACAACTACCTAAAAAGTGATATGTATATATATATAAGCAGAATTGATCACAATAGGAAATTTGCATAGATAATTCTAAATTTTGAAGGTTTGTGAAATGTTTGAGCAAATAGACCTAAATCCTAATGTTAAACACTGAACCGAGTTCCCTCAAACATTTCTTACAAATCCTTCAAAACTTAGAATTTATACTTATGCAAAATTCCTATTGTGATCACAGAAACTTTGATAGTGTAGCCTAAAAATAATACATTATATTTACCAGGCTAAATATAATGTGGTGATGGAAATGTTTTCAGAGATGATATTCATGCCGACTATATATTTGTGAGTGTACTTACAATTTTACTGCTCCCTTCGTGGCATTCTGTACGAAAACGAACTCGTCTCTCTTCCAAACTGCAGTCACAATGATCTATGTATCTGATCTAAAAGACAAAACTATATGAATGATTTAAGCGCCAAAATTTTAAAATTGTTCCTACTACCCAAAATTTTCTTTCAGCTTTGTACAAGTTGTTCCAAACTCTGTTCACTAGAGAACGAAATCATTTCCGGGAGAGTGTGAGAGAAAGATACTTTGCCAACAGTATATTTTAAGATTAATAGTTTACAAATTAACGACAGTGTGACAACACATTTTTACAAAACGATTAATAAACAAGGGAGAACACAGATGACATTTTACGCAAGCTGGTTTAATTTTAAAAACGTTTATGGAGCATCATGTAATGTCTTTAATTTGTTCTGCAAGGATCTTGTACGGAAGTAAGTAGACTAGACTTAGCCAAATTTTAGGCTTGATTGCTCAATAGAAATATGTAGGTATGCATTTAAATTTGAATATTCAGAATGATCATTGAATTACTAATAATACAAATATGCCTGCTATAAACAAAATCTGCATGCTCTCGACATTTCCTATGATTATGCTTATAATTGCTCTTATTTTAGTCATTCCGCAATTTCGGTAGTTTTATACGAATTCAACAAAGTTGCAATTACAAAAGAAATCGAATCACTATAATACTGATATAGCAAATTTGTAACTAAAAAGTAAAATAGTTGATGGCGATAGAATGTAACATAAGACCAATTAATTCTTTTCTTGTATAATGTGCTTATTACGCCCGGTTCAACGGCAGACAACACGGCATGAAATAAGGAAAATCAGTTACGAAGAACCCAAGCTAAACTTAGACTATACTATATAAGTTTATGAACTACAATTTTATAGATCGCGATTGCACCAACCTCGGAATCTTCTTGTAACTGTCGCAACACGGGATCTGTTTCAAATTTAGCTCGTTGATTCTCTACAACACGGGGCATTTTCACAACTGCAAACTCCCAAGAGTGACAATCCCTAACGATTCATTATATTTGTGGTGGTCTAGAAAAACTCTATTAAAACACTCGACATACCGCACGATGACTTGAACATTTTCTAATTATTGGATTGAAGAGACGTCGTATACATAGCTATAACTAATAGATAAAATTAGTTCTTCTCAAGACACAAAGACTCATAGTCCTCAATAACCACTTCTGACTTGGTCTTGGAAAACGAACCAAAAGAGCAAACAAACATCATCACCAAGCACTTTGTAAAATAATCACGAGATCATGTACCGCCACATAGTGCGGTCAACCGCATTTTGCATTCCATGTTCACAGATGAATCCTGCTTCGACGGAAACTCGAATAAAAAAACAGCCAAATATGCAAGGTAATAACTACCCCCGGACGATATCGACGGTAAGTACCGTGTTCCAGTTTATGTAGGCGTTGAATATAATATTGTACTTGCACTAAAATCCCAACCCAAACTGATACTATTTGCGTCCACACCTTGCGCGCTCGTCGCCCATCCGTCGCGTTCGGTGTTCGCTCCCACCCTAATATTCCTAGTATCCATTGACAATCGTCATTACTCCCTCACTTAGTTACAGCCGTGAAAGGGACGAGCACTGGGGACGAGTGAGAAAAGAGTACTCGGACTCCAAGACGAAGGCATTCGCTCGGCGAAACGCCAAAGTATTGCCAATATCAGTTTTTCACGTAAGGTTAATTTCCATCAACATTTCTTGTGAAATAACTAAGTAAATAAAAGGACAGAATTTAGTTTTGTGTATACGATGTAATATGTGTATTTGTTGAGGTAATTTAAACGTATATAAAATTGAGAAAGATTTAAACTTTATTAAAAACACTTAACTCAAAAGCAGCCCGTATGGTTGTATCCTTCAAACAACTCTGTTTGTTTCGTTAAAAACACCACCGTCATGCTCACTTGTTTGACAACTAGCTCTCGATCCGTACTGAAAACTCCAGTGATATATTTATCCAATTAACACCACTGTTTTTTCCGGAAACAAATATAGAGGGTTAGTTAGAGTTAGATAAATATGCATGTATGATAAGCCTGTGCTCGTATTTATTAACACACTGCCACTTTTCAACAATACAAATAACAAGATTGGAAGAATACAGAATAGCAATAAATAAATAAATACAAGGTATGTATACCATCACTACCTTTTGAAACAAAGATGGTATTTGATAATTTTTTTACTATAAACTTCAAAACAATAGACAATAATCATAATTCATATAGACTGGCCTTGTGGAATTGTCCACCAATGTTGCAATTATAATACCCCGGGTTCCGGCCGTTCCATGTGGCAGCAAAGATTGCCCAAAGACAAAGTACGCTTTCTACCGAAAACACTGACGTTTATATTGTCAGCTTTACCGGCAACGGCAATATGAGAATCGTTGACCAAAACATATTTTTGAGCAAGTGTATTAGTTACTATTAACATCTCAAACTGCAGCCTTGTCGCCTGCATGTTTATCGTGAACTGGCGTTAATTTTCAGCCGAAGCGATGGCATGATGATTGATGGTGGTCAGTGTACGAAGAGTGAAAAATTACAGTAAATCTATTATTCTATTTATTTACCTCCAACTGTATAAGACTATACTGTATAGCACAAGACTATACTGTATAGCACATACAAAGCAAAGGCATCATTTTTCCATACTGATATAACTGCCAAATAACCACCATTTGTTCACGATAAAGCTTAGCGAAACGGCGAAACCGAACATGCTAGTGCGAATAATGCACTCACTGTCTTGCACGTTTACTGCATTTTGCGTGTGCAAGCAGGAAACATGCACTCGATCATGCTGTACGCTTGCGTTATTTTCGTGTAATGACTATACAATCCCATTGTGATTTTAAACCGTAAATGTTTTGTAAAAGTGTACTTGAAATAACACTCCAGTCTTGACGTAGCGCCATCGTAGCGCCATCGTGACGCTACGTATCGTCGAAATTCGAGAGACAATGGTCGAGTGATCTCGTAAGCTCTCGAATATTCACTTACGTGTCAGAGTCGGGCCCATGACGGCCGACGACAAAGCGACCAATAGCTACAGAGCGGAATACACGCTCGCAGTTTTAAAAGTTCGAAATTGCGTGAGTCCGTAAGGAGTTTGTCCTTCACCGCTAGCTTATGTATGCAATTGCCCGTACCAGTATGTTTACAGTTGCTACCTGCTCTCGCTGAAGAGTGTTTTGACTTGTAATGCAGCGTCCAAGTTTTGCATGCAACACTAGCTCGCTGCCGCTAACGTGAAAATGCCCCGAGTTGTTGCAAACCAGAACGAGAGGTTTCAGAATGATGATATATTTCAGAAACTATCGCGGGAGACTGAGGTAAGATCGCTGAAGTCTTGCGTAGATGTATCAATTTATATAATTAACATGCACGAAGGTATCATCGTTTTTTTATATCTGAATATAGCCGGATACGAATGTTACACTGCACGTACAGTATCCCTTATAAACTGTTCTCAGAAGTAGAACTAGTTCGTTTTAGAGATTTAGAAATATATACTGCTTTCTGTATCGATATACTTTTGCATAACTTTAAGCACAAATTGTACAGAATAGAATTGCAAAGAATTCACTGAAAAGATTCCTCGTCTGCGTTCGTGTTGGATACTTGTTCTCCGGATTTTATAAAATACAAATTAGCCGACCTTCACTCGTCTTCGAACATACAGGGCAATGTTTCATGAATGCTGCACAGAAACTATTACTGTAAAATTGAACCGAGTCAATTCAAGGAAGAATCGGCATTCAACATGCATGAGCTTGGAAGTTGCCAGTTTAATTCAAATTGCCAAGGAGACTAACGAGTAGATCATGATAATGGCTGCAGTCACTTTCGTTTTGTTCTGTGCAATATTATTGACTACTAGCAGTTACAGCCAGGCTTAGTACACAAAATATTTGGATGAAATACGAGGATAATTGCATGTCTGTGGCAGCTTAAACTGGCTTTGTCACTTTGAACGGCTGCAGTCTTTTTATAAGCTATTGTGCAATATCAGTTATTGATGATTCAATGTCACAGTAATACACCGAGAATATTAGATGAATAAAAAATAAATCTGTAAATAAATAAATATATATCTGTCTTTGTTTTGGCTGGATGAAAATAAACAAATGCTTTTACATGAATGAAATTAGGAATGATAAACGAACGAATATGATTCAAACTGCAACCAAGTAATAATCTCTCTAGCTCGAAGTTCATAGTTGGGTCAAGCTAACTTATTGACTGTTGTAATAGTTTTGATTTACTTCCCTATTTTATCATGTATAGTTTCCATGGAATTCCCCCGTAAATCTCTTCCCATGCCATGCAGTGATGCCACTAGCAAATAGAGATGTCCATATCACAGATATGTGTGTACATTCCGCATTATTAAAGTGCTGCTGTCTAAACTGCAGTATGTTGTCGTGTGAAGGCTACATGCAAGAAATATTATATTATTGTTTAAATCCCTTTGTTCACTGTTAACACCAACTTGGATAGTCTGACACAATTGGAGACATTTACAGCTGATTTCGTTATTCCCACGTCTGCATTCTGCATCTTGTGTGTGCATGTTGCAACGATGACGATGTACATGCATCGGTTTAAGTGTTATTGGAAAATTGTATACAAACACTTGTCCTCGAGCGAATCAAGAATGGCGAAGTGAGGGAAACTGGCTTTTCAACAAGTCTACTTGTAAAATTTCAACCGTTAACTGATTTTTCAGCATGCATACATGCACAGCAGGTAAATAACGCCTGTCAAGAAGCTCTTTAGGATTAATTAGAGAATTTTGAGTAAATTTTTAAGTTCGAGCAGACATCACTGCATTATACTGGTTATATAAATTAATGATATATAGGCTACAAAGAAAAATCTCAATGATTCATGTCAGTATTAGGAAAAGCATTTTCATTTAACCCAACTATCCTGTATTTCCTCAAACTGAAAGACCTGAACGGTTTGAGATTCAGTAAATCCTACATTTGTTGCCTTATTCAAATATGACAATCAGTCATGTTCGGCTCTAACGATAATGGCGCCATTACCATTGAAGGCTATAGAATTTCTACAGTTGAGTTGCGAGACAAAACTGCAGAAACCCTGCATTCAAATAAATAATAACACGTAGCAACAATGCATGATTACAAGTTCTGCAAATGAAAGATAAATGTAGTTCCGTTATCAGAACGCGTTTATTCTCTAATTAATATCACAGGTTGTGGATTTCAACAGTTTGCACGTTGCAGGCAAACATGTGTGTTACTGCATTACACACAGACATCAATTTCAAATAACTACATACGGTTTAAATATAATATATAAAGATTGTTTCTTATGACTCTCCAATACTAACGATCGCGTGTTTTAAACCTGAACATTCATATGGAAATGGGATGGCCAGGAAAAATAGTCATAACATCCACGGGGCTAAAAAGTACACCCCAGCCGATAACGTTCCCTATACACCCATGAGAACACACACTGCAGATGTATTGAAGTATATATTTGCCCAGGAAAAAGGAACTCAGGAAACAGGGATGAATATAACATGCATTATTAAAAAATGTCAAGGAAGAGGCATTCCAGTCAATGATAGACAGTAAAATATGCATGATGAGATTTGTTGTGTGAATTTCTTAACGATTAATCAGAGTCCACTAAAACTTTCGAAATTATTTGACATCTCTAAATGTCCTATAGAGCTCTAGAGAGCCCTAAACTTCAAGTTTAAAGTCCCTCCTTGGAGTTTGCATGGTATTCACCTTGGCTTATTATTTTATATATTGAGTTGGGGTACCACTAGTCAAGTGCAGTGTAAAAATTCCATGAAATTATAAGTATGTTCATTGATTGAAGACCATGACCATCTACCTATAGCTTGCAGCAGTTGGGTTTGACTTATTTCAACTATAAAACGTTGTATTTGATTACAACAACAAGCACAGCAAGTTCTTTCACATTGATAGCACGTATATTTGATACGAAATTACTGGATAGATAAAGCAACAAAAACAAAAACAACAACAACAACAACAATTCTTATTCTAACCATAATAGATTTTGACAATAGTTTTTTTTTGTGGATTGACTAGGTTGGTTATATTGGTAAAAACCTAGAAAAACCATAAGGGCTTATCAAGCTAGACAACCAAATCAACAATCTAGGCAACGAAATCTAGGCAACCAAATCAAGCTAGGCAACCAACTATTACTATTAAAAAATCTCAAAGAAGTGGCACTCTGTTCCAACTGATGACCTTGCAGATGCAAAATAATAATATAGAGAGTACTGATTTTAACTTTAAAGGAAACTGCTGTAGTATTATAGTGTTATACTTTAATATATCTATTATTTTCTAGTTCTAAATTAGCACTCATGCATTGTGACCAAGTTATACCTATAAAACTTTGCATATTACAACACCAAGAACAGCAATAGTTCTTTCATACTGATGGTACATATAATACATAGATTTGATGTGAAATAATACTGTAAAGATAAAGCAAATAGTTTACCATTATTATTATTAAAACAAATGTCAATGAAAAGGCATTCTGTTTCAATTGATGGTTTTGCATATGATTACCAAATATATAGCAACTGCATGAGAGAAGAGAGTTCATTGATTTTAAGCTTGAAGACAACTGTTAGATAGAACTGTTATTTTCTAATTTTAGAATAGCATCCCATTGATTGAAGTCCACTGATGACCATGTACTTTGCAGCCCTTGGGCTTGCCCTATTCCAACCAGAAAATTATTTATATTATAACAGAAGAACAGCATTTTTTTATTGACTGCAAATATAATATGTATGAAGATAGATATTAGATAATACAATATAAAGATATACCAAATAATTGCAATGAAAATTTCAGTATGAAAGATATATTTGATTTGAATAAAAATATTTTATTAATGGTGCATTTTGGCAAGCTTGGTAAATGCAAATAAAGAATATAAGTTTGTAGCTTATAAGTTATCTAGTTGTGTGCTTGGATACATTTTGTTCAGTATACTATATATAGTAACCTCTCTAAAGGTTTATTTTGTTTTCATGACCTAATTGAGATTGGCTAAATATGATTAGAAAAACTGGTTAAAATAGAGTTTATTTACACTTGATTTTTGTGCCTGCTTGCAGATAAAATACGTAGGTTACAGAGACAGGCCGTTAGAAGAACGTCAACTTCGTTTTCAAACGGAATGCAGAGAGGGAAATACTTCTATTGTAAGTACTTGCACTAGCTGTTTACTGTACACCCAATTTGGTCTCACACCTCTCTCCATTTCATATCCTTCTATGATAGCATTCTCCAGGGGAGTGATTTTCAGAGTGATTTTTAAACAATGCATAATAAAGCCATGCACTCACAATGTTAAAGAAATGACATCACAACAGCTAGTATATTTGTATCCTTTTTATGTCCTAAATTTATCCAGTGCTGTTTCTAATAACTGTTTATGGTTAACATATATATGTTTAGTTAATGTACTTCCTATAAAGAGCATGTGAAAATTGTTTTATTGAAACATATTATTGTACAGATTTTAAACCTCATGCACATGTGCAACCATGCACTCACAATTACATGTAATTAGAAAATAGAAGACGTTCAATAACAAGTTGTTCAACTAATTCACTGATAGGATCTCATTCTCATGCAATAGTGTCAATCATATTACTAAATTGGTGGGTTTTCCCTTATTGTTCAAGGCATTCACGGTCGTAGGAGTGAACATAGAACTGCTGTTTCCAAAGCAAGCTGACTCACAGACTGTTCCTCCAGAGAATGTTGACTTTTACAAAGAGAAAGATAAGGTATACCATTTCTCTTTTATACCTAATCTACAATTAGATGTACTGGCAGAAACTGTCACAAGAATGCTGCTTCATAAAAAGCGACGTTCCGAAAGGGGTTACTAGCGAAGGGCGTGTCCTCCCCATCACTTGTCCCAGATACTAATATCATCTTTCACTCGTCCCAGATACTAATATCTTCTTTCACTCGTCATATAGGTCTTTCTACGAAGCCTTTTCATAATGAATGGTGTTTGTGTTATATTTGTTGGCTGGTTAAATATAATAAAATTAGATGGAGTTGGATATCTGATGTTTGACGAAGACACAGCTAAGGTCCTTTCTCAATAATAATAAAAATAATGATAATAGTGATTTATTAGCGATTCCAAATTGAAATGGCTCTTCTATCACTAAATTAACTAAATTCTACATTAACAAGTTCTAGCTATATTTACAATGTGTAGCTGTGAAGAGTTAATAAATCTATACAGTACATTAACCAGTCACAGTACAAATTTCACAAAACAGATGTAACAAAACATAGTCATTTATACCCCGGCCCGAGCCTCTCGTGGGCAAAGTCTGTAAGATGGACTTTCACACTTGTTCTAAAAATGTTGAAATCTTTGCAATTTCGCAAACAATCTGGCAGAGAGTTAAATGCAGCTGCAGGACTGTCCTGATTAGTTCCCTTGTTTTAACGTCATAACAGTGAATGTGTGAATGGCATGGAGAACATTAAGAACTTCAAAACAATGAAGAGACAACATTGGAAAAAATAAATTCACGTGGTGTTTCCACAAACAAAAGTATTATATAATATTGGAACAATCGGATTACTAGATTGTCACTAGATGGCACTAATGAATATTATTCTTCAGCATGAAAAGAAACCATGTTTAATAGTTTCAAGTAGATTCGTATGACGATAAACATAACAACGAAAATGAATTTCTTTTTTGATAGGTTGAAGACGCCATAATGCGAGAAACTTTGAGAAAAGCAAACATAAAATTGGAGGAATTTCAAGAAAAATTAAGAAGCGAGACTTCAGAAGTAAGATGCTATAACTAATGAACTGTTCTAATATTTCCACCTAATCACAAGCTTCACACTATAATTTGTAAAATACAATATATATATATATATATTTAGGAACAGTTTCCAGTTATGTCATGTGCACTTCATAATCATAAATATAATAATGCATATTTTTCAAGCTCGCTCGGTGTGGATATACACCCAGAGTAACATCACAAGCATCATATTCACCTGAGTACACAACACCAACACAGAAAAAAAATCATAAATGTAGTTATAGTTTTCTGTGTCATTGGCTGCTTATCCTAAACCATTCAGGCTAAACATTGAAGAATATAGATCTTAGAGGTGTGCATCGGATCGGATTGGACGTTTATAACCCAACAATTGGCTAATGTTTAAAATCCGATCCGATCCGAAATTGTCTAATCCGAATCCGATCCGAGTTGTGATAAAGAATTCCAATCCGATCCGAAGAATCCTTTAACAAAATAAATTTCTCATTCAAGTTGAAATGTTTTAACCAAATAAATATAAAAACAAAAAATACATGTCAAAAAGCTGACAAAGTGACGTCCAATTGAAGTATCAAACGAACTGCAGCGACAACCGCAATAATGCTTTGATAAATGCATGGATAATTAATTCTTGCAATAATGCGTGGATAATTAATTCATAAGATAAGTTTATTTCGAATATCGAAGTCCGATCCGATCCGACTACGAAACAACTTTATCAATCCGATCCGATCTGAAATGTATATTTTTGTTCCGAAATCCGAACGAATCCGATCGGATTTGCACACCTCTAATGGATCTTCAAATCTCTGATCTTATTTCTCTATTTTTCACAGGTTCAGAACACGCGTATGTAGAGAAGATTATTTGGCCATCTATAAAATTACACACATGTTCTGTACGCGCACACATGCAAACAAATAATAAAAGTCAGAAAATTATAAAACACATAAAAGCTATAAAATTATCTTATAATATATAGCATAACGAAATACACACATTTTTTCCCTTTATATGTAAATATACTGAAAAGATTTTATTCTAATTAAATTATTATGAATATAAGATGACTCTATCTTATGTGTAAATATCTAATATGATCTAAAAAAACTGATTTTAGAAACAAAATGTGTGTGTATTTGATCAGCATTGCTAGCATTGCAGATTTTATGCCGTGTCAATCATCCCAGATATTAGTGAGTCCCCATACCGTCTTTCATCGTGTTTTTATATCATTATCAATCTTTAATTTGAATATATACATACATCAATTATCAAACTATTTTGGCTTGAGACGAGACAATTTTTTAATCAGATGCCAGATGGTAAAAAACATGAGTTTCACGCGTTTTCATCACTCGGTAAATTTGCATGTGCAAACATTTAAATTTTCCAATTCAAGATTGTACCAACAATATCTTCAGCTTTGATTAAGCAAATCCTAATCCAGATTCTATAAATCTAATCCCAACAGATTAATCTGAATGGAACTTCGGTGATGCATCACACATCGTATAGGTCCTTTACACATGCAATTTTTGCAATTCATATAATTGACTAGATTCAGTCTCAGCTGTTAATACAATGATACTAGCAAAACACGAAAGATTTATAGAAAATGACAGAAAGTTTATGCCGATTACGTAACTGATAAGCTGGACTCTGAACGTCATCACAGAAGACACAGAAGGTTGTGAATGACATACTAATTAATGCTTTCGCTCGAAACGCCAAAGTGCTCCTAGGCCCCCCTTCTAGTCATTTTCAGGTATAGTTTATATGAACTACATAAGTTTATATACTGAGCAATGATGACGTTAAGTCTATGAAGGCATGACCCACGACTTACCTGCAGTACATGTGAAGTACACAATTGGTGCATGACATGTATTTACATTGCCACTGATGAGGCACGAGTCCAACAAACTGGATAATTGTATGAACTGGACCCCGTTAAAAAGATACTGCTTCTCGTAATCTTATGATGCGTACGTTAATTTTAAAGTACTTGGCATTCATCGACATCACCTATCAATCTATCATTGGTCATCACCCATGGAGAACAGCCACAATCTTGTTTACAAAAAAGGAAGTGGTTAATTTAAAATCAAAATTCATGAGAGGCGTCGAGAGCGTCAAGGACATACAAAGTTGAGATAGAGGAATTTTTTGGTTTACCAAAAGCCCCAAAGAAGAAACAATAAAAAGATACATGCGTGTATAATTTTTACGATGTATCTTATCGGTGTATATCCTATCTGCACAATAAGCAATTCCATTCTATTTCTCCCTTATTTTAAATAAACCAACTTAGGCTTAGCCCTTCCTTACTTACTTCGTAATTTATTAGAGACCTTAAAATTGATGTTTATGCCAGATCGAAATAAAGACCCTAAATATATAGCTATTATAAATTCATGCTTCAATATTAATGAATCATATTAATGAATCTAATGCACAAGTTGTCCTAACTAATTTCGAACAGCTGACATGCAGGTGACCTCAAAATACGATCTGAAGTTAGCCGCTTCTGGTCAGCCGTAATCGTCAAAGTCTACCATAAGATCGGTATAACATATAAAAATAACAAAAACAACTAATATAACAACAACTTCTACGTTTCATGCTATTGTATTAGGGTCTTATTACAGGCTAGTTACGGAACTTATAACATTTAATGGTTTTATTGCTGCGGAGCGAGCGAGCCTGAAGCGAGCGAGCGTAGCAGCAGCCTAGTAGAGAGGGGGTTTTGAACTAAATTTTATTTAGCGCATGGAATTGTGGTCGTTCTATGCGCAGAACACAAATTTTAAACTCGCTCGAGTCTTCGAATTTTTATCGAATTTCTAAAGCTTTTGCAAATCTAATGTTACGCTTACATTTGTTTTGGACTTTGGCCACTGTCAGTTCTATATTTTCATAAAGTTTTGGTTTCTTAGTGTGATAAATCTGTGTATATAGTTTATATGTGGTAAATGCGCCTAGCAGTAAACAGACTTGATATGAAATCTGATCTTAATTTACCTGTATGTCAATGAGACGCACATGTTTAATATCTGTCACCTCTGATTGCCCTTTAAACCCCTGGTCTTTGCTACTTCAATATATATTGCTTATTCTCAGTTCCATTCACAGCTCACTAGTCGCTGCGAGTAATCACTGTGCTTGATATAATTTGTGCTGTTTACTGTAGTTCTATTTGCTTTTAATGCCCGCAGCAATCCCTACCTTGCAGGTACCCCAGTTTCGATATATTGTCAGTACATTCCTGTGGTGAACCAGAGTCCGGAAACTATCCGGAAACGACAGGGACATGACATCACAAACGGGAAGTGTACTTTAATATCGCGTGCGGTATACCGTTTGAACTCGCGTGCGGCAGAAGTACAATACCGTGCGATAAAAACTTTCTTAGCAGGAAAGGAGTTTGTGGCCAACCACAGATGTCATCGTGTTTACCAGGAAATTGGGCTAAACAGTTTCTTCTTAAATAGGTTCTTATTTTCTTAAAAAAAAACCGACTCGGTAGGTGCGGTATATAATTTATATAAATGATGTACAAATGATCTAACAGTCCATGATGCTGGAAAACATTGCTTAGTATTTTCACTGGAGAAATACAATTATTTGTTGTTGTGTTCATATGTACATGTTATTTATCAGAATGACCTAATTTGCTTAAAGTGACTATATCACTTGTGGGACCTTTATGGATTTGAAAAGAGCGTGAAAAGTTAGTTAATCAAAAGCTTTTTTGATTCAGTGCAATAGTTTTGAGGAAACAAGCCTTTAGACAACGGACTGTTCCTGAGTCCCAGCCTCCTGGGGTCTAAACACGGGCCACGGCTATTGAATTTGGCCTTTTTCGAAACTGTCCATTGTGCATAGGAGCCTGGGACTCAGGAACTGTAGGTGGTTTTAGGGACATGTATCTTCGAAATTATTGCACTAAATCAAAAAACACGTTTGAACTTATTAACTAACTTTTTACGCTCTTTTCAAATCCATAAAGGTCCCACAAGTGATATAAGCACTTTAAGAGTTAATGCCATGACGTCATGTGTAAGTCGTGTGCAATGTACATTTACAAAAGGTAGAGGTATAAAATTACATTGCCTAAAGGCTCTTATAGATAAGCTCGCAAGAATTTACCGCAGAGAAAAATAGTGAAGAAATTAATCCTCTCACATGGAAGACAGAGTTGACAGATATATTTGCAGAACTGCAATTCGATTCCACGTCTCTTCTGATACAGGGTTAGCTGATTAAATAAGGCTGATTTCAGTTGAAATCGTCGTTTTCTTTCTTCAAATCAACAAAATATTGAAAAAAGATAAGACATACAGATACAAATACAATACAAAATATATGTATATTTTGTCCAAATTACGCTTCGTTCACAAATTCGAAACGCACCACATTAGTCCGGATTAAACGGGCCTAGTGTGAGTTGGCAGTCACACGAGCTTGTCTTACCTTGCTGTTCTTAATGCTTTCCCAACACTAATACAACATAGGTGTGAATGGAGAGAGGAACAGGACTTGCGTCCCAATTGACACCTATCATGTATTCACTAACATGTATTCTATTTAAGTTCAGTAAAACATAGTTGGAACACTCATAAAAGTATAAGACCTTATTTTTGTTAATCTATAGAGCATGAAATTTCGCCTGTAACAATGACATGCAGCTGACCTCAAAATACGATCTGAAGTTAGCCTCTTGTGGTCAGCCGTAACCGTCAAAGTCTACCATAGGCATAAGATCGGTACAACATATAGAAATAACAAAAACAACTAATATAAAAACAACTTCTACGTTTCATGCTATTGTTTAGGGTCTTATTACAGGCTAATTACGGAACTTATATTAACATTTAATGGTTTTATTTCGATATATTGTCAGTACATTCCTGTGGTGAACCAGAGTCCGGAAACTCTCCGGAAACGACAGGGACAATGACATCACAAACGGGAAGTGTACTTATCGCGTGCGGTACTGTTTGAACTCACGTGCAACAGAAGTACAATACCGTGCGATAAAACGTTTCTTGGCAGGAAAGGAGTTTGTGGCTAACCACAGAGGTTCTGATGTCATGGTGTTTTCCAGGAAATTGGGCTAAACAGGTTCTTAAATAGATTCTTATTTTCTTAAGAAAAAACACTGAAGAAATAAGAATATTTGTTGTTGTGTTCATATAGACATATTATTGATCTGAATGACCTAATTTGCTTAATGCCATGACGTCATATGTAAGTCGTGTGCAATGTACATTTACAAAAAAGGTAGAATCTGAGTAGAGGTATAAAATTACATTGCCTAAAGGCTCTTATAGATAAGCTCGCAAGAATTTACCGTATAGAAAAATAGTGAAGAAATTAATCCTCTCACATGGAAGACAGAGCTGTATATTTGCAGAACTGTAATTCGATTCCACGTCTCTTATGATACAGGGTTAGCTGATTAAATAAAGCTGATTTCAGTTCAAATCGTTGTTTTCTTTCTTCAAATAAACAAAATATTGAAAAAAGATAAGACATACAGATACAAATACAATACAAAATATATGTACATTTTGTCCAAATTACGCATCGTTCACAAATTCGAAACGACCAGCGGACCACATTAGTGCGGATTAAACGGGCCTAGTGCGAGTTGGCAGTCACACGAGCTTGTCTTACCTTGGTTAGCTGTTCTTAATGCTTTCCCAATACTATCATGTATTCTATTTAAGTTCAGTAAAACATAGTTGGAACACTCATAAGACCTTAATTTTGTTAATCTATAGAGCATGAAATTTCGCCTGTAACAATGCGTGACTACCAACTCGGCATCAACTTTCAAAAACTCTCAACAGCTTTAAGGCCATGTTACATAAGGCAATTTTTGCTGCAACTTGTGAACGTAACTTACAACACACACTAACCTTGTTATGTAAAAGCAAGGCCGGATTTTGCATGGTAGAAATGGCGGTGGGGGTGGGAAAAATTAGGGGAGGTGCAGTGATCTAGTCCACGGCCCCCATAGACCACGCCCCCACGTGACGAATGCATGTCGAAAATGCGCAAGGCACGAGGGAAATGAATTAAAAATATCAGGAAAGCAGCCCGCGTGCTCACGGATTTTCTGTCAATAATAGCAACTTCGCTCTACGTCCAAAATTGCGTTGCAAGTAAAATTGCCTCGTGTAACTAGTTATTAATTTAGAGTACAATATTAATTAGGATTACATTAATTTATAATTTATCTTACAAAACTTTACAAATACTACACACTATATCTACTTTGGGCAATCCTACGACAATCATATATACAACTCGTACGAGGGCCAGCCTCTGACGATGTACAGCACATGTCTTCAAATGCTTTGGCAGCAGAGGCAGCCTCGAGACTTCCATGCTTGCGTCTTAATGTTTCTCGTAGAAAATCGTCTTCTATCTATGAAACAAAGATTTGACGTCATAGCTTCTGTGCATGGAGACGAATTGTCTTGTTTGTGGCAAACACAGCGTTTATTTAATTGACGTTTTTATACGCTAAATCCAATATTTTAAGAGACACTTGAAACTTTATAAGGAAGTTCGTAAACAAATTAGCAACCCCCTTGTCATTACTAACACTTAACACAGTCACGGGATCGTAAGCTAACATTTAGAATTTAATAGGTGAAACTGTCCTCGCTTGAGGTTCAGTAAAGATAATTTTTCTTGTTCCAGTATTACTACAGGACAAAAATAACTTGCTTTGCACGGAATAGCTCTATCAGTTCTGGACTGTTCTTCCTAAAGGTCCATTTTAAGGCCTTCCCTTCTTCATCTAGTATACCGGACTATAAGTTCGAAACTGCATGTTCTCTCTAAAAGTCCAGTAACAGCCACCCTTCAGTTCAGTGTTACTACAGAAGGAAATCTGTGGACTAACTCTATTTATATACTATACTGGTAGTTCTATCAGTTCTAAACTGTCCAGTAACGGACATCTCTTATTGATCCATTATTACTACAGGAGGAAACCTAGAATAAACTAACTTTATTTATACAGTGGAGTTCTATCAGTTCTAAATTGTTCTCCTACAGAGGTCCAGTAAGGGTCATCTCTTATTGATTCAGTGTTACCACAGGAGGAAACCTAGAATAAACTTAGAATAAACTAACTTTATTTATACAGTGGAGTTCTATTGATTCAGTGTTATTATACAGGAGGAAACCTATAGACTAAACTAACTTCAGTTATTCAGTGGAGTTCTATCAGTTCTAAACTGTTCTCCTACAGAGGTCCAGTAAGGGTCATCTCTTATTGATTCAGTGTTACCACAGGAGGAAACCTAGAATAAACTTAGAATAAACTAACTTTATTTATACAGTGGAGTTCTATTGATTCAGTGTTATTATACAGGAGGAAACCTATAGACTAAACTAACTTCAGTTATTCAGTGGAGTTCTATCAGTTCTAAACTGTTCTTCCTAGAGGTCCAGTAAGTCCGTCTCAAATGTCCAGTGTAACTTCAAGAGGAAAGCTAGAGTAGGCACCTTGCCTCCCCATGTAACTGAGGTGTAATCAGATAACTGGATATTACAGGAATGGATCAAGTATAGAATCATTGCAGACACAGATATTCTCTAAATTGTTGTTCTTCACAGTGTTATATACTTGTACTTACAAGTGTATTACTAAACACCAGTATTCTAGCGATTTATGGCGGTAAATACCTGCGCTGATTCTTCGTCAAATTCCAAACTTCCAAAACCACGTAATCTTTGCACGTCTAGCCAACCATAAAATTTGACACAAACACCGTTGAAGATTAGAGGGGCTACCAAAAACACCTGAAGATGGAATAAAACATAAACTTTGCCAGAAATCGTGATTTGTGGTGGTGTGGTTGTGTGTTCAGAAGATTAAGTAGAAATCACTTGTTGAAAGACTAATGTCGCACTCGAGAATTAAATCCACAGTCTCAGGTTCTAACGAACTAATGCTCAGACCAGCGAGCTATTTCTCAGAAACTCCAGATATTGTGTTCACACTTATAGTATATAATATCATATATCTGTAAAGCTCGTCGTAAGAAACTACACAGTCTATACACTCTACAGCCAACAAAATACAAGTCATACTATTGCAAAAATCATGTCCTTTTTATGATAAAAATTTCAAAATAAATAAAACACGAACGCCCTTGACCTTGTCCTTATAATATATAGAACTCCATGTAATGACTTCAACGCTCGGTATGATAAACGGCTGGTGCTTTATTTTTTTTTTACAATTACATAACAATTGAAGGGTCAGACAACAGTGAACAGAACAAATAAAGTCCTAAATTAAGTTAATATTTTGCTTCCCATTCAAAGAGTACGAGCAAATCGAAGCACTCTGCTTAGACAACGTTGATTTTTAAAATTACTTCGTCAATTAACTCATAAGATGGGACGTTTTTTTAACCATTTAAAACATTCACAGTCCGTGCTTTATATCAGATATGAAATATGATAAAACACTCCTGCATGCTCGTGTTTTAAACAGTACATCATTACACTAACTACACTGTGATTGCATGTCAGTTGTACGAGTCAAAATTCCATAAATATTATCATAAATCTTCAGACAATTACCTTTCCTGGCTCTCGCAAGAAGTCTACGTACTCTGACGAAGAGTATTGAGATTCCAAAGATTTTGGAAAAGACAGCAGCAAGTTGACGCCATTTCGGAGAAAACCCTATCGTGGGAAATGGCAAATAAATTCACATTCCCTTCATTATTATAGGCTTTATAGCCTATACTTATAGAAATATACCAAAGATTACATTATAAGGAATATGGAACATGTTCAAAATAAGAAAAATGCATGTAAATAAGAAAAAATGATATAGTATAAACACTAAAGTTAAGCTTGAGGGAAGCTTGTGCGGGTTTGGGGTGTATGTATAGTATAAGCATTTTAACTGGAATTCGGCGCCTTTGCCGTAATTTCCAAATATACGATTTCAAGACATGAAAATGTACAATTAAATAGCCAAAGTTCATGCAGTTAAAAGTTTCAAAATAATTTCAGAAATAACGTAAATCATACCAGTCGCTTTCAATTGCGTGGAAGTACATTGCATGGAAGTACATGCGAGTTGCATGAGAATCTGGGAATCACGCGATCTTCATGCCCTTGGTTAGCTGTTCTTAATGCTTTCCCAACACTATCATGTATTTATTTAAATCGACAGTAGTTGGAAAACGTATCAATACTCATCTCAATTCTTATTTTGTTAATCTAGAGCCTGAAATGTAACTTGTAAAAGCCGATTTCTACTACACAACGCGTTTGCCTAAAACTGTCGCATGCAACCTGCTTACAACTCGAGTTATATACTGTGTAAATCAAGCACACAACTCGCTTACGTTGTTGTAGATATCGTGTGCTTGATTTACACAGAAGAAATCAAGTTGTAAGTAGGTTGCATGCGACAGTTTTAGGTATTGGATGATTCCAACTCATAGTATAGACTATATAAATTTTGATCTCGGCAAGAAGAACAAAATCCATCACCGCAATTAGAAAGCGCAATTTAAAATTAGTAAAATTGCAAAGTTTGGTTGCGAAATGTTGTAAAATGAGGAAAATATAGCCCTACGAAATTTGCAAATTTTGTATTAATTTGTATTACGCACGGGAAAATGCACCACTTTCGGCCCAAATGTGGTGCACTTTCCCGCGCGCAATGCAAATTAATACAAAATTTGCAAATTTCGCAGGGCTATATATTTTCCGCATTTTACAACATTTCGCGGCCAAACTTTGCAATTTTACTAATTTTAACGTGCTCTTCCTAGCTGTGGTGATGGATTTTGTTCTTCTTGCCTAGATCAAAATTTAGTCTATAGATGGAATCGTCCATTCGCGGTGATTGCAAACTCTCAGTCAACTCTTCGTCCTCGTTGAACCAAGGCTTATCAGCAGCCGGAATGAACAAAGACAAATGATTAAATGGACAACGAAAATAGCTTACTATCTTGCAGCTTCCATCATAGCAATCTGTACAAAAACGTATCCTTCTTTCTTCAACAGAACAATTATAATATCCTGTGTATCGGATCTATATAACAATGTGCATATAATTATACGTGTATAGTTCCTACATATAGGACCAACACAAATACATGTACAAGTTTATATCTTGTGATCCATAGTGACAGCGTTCTTATAAATTTAACTCTTCAATCATCTCAAAAACACTAATCATATTTGCCATTTGGTGACACAAATGAACGTAAGGTTTGTGTATACATTAACAAGATTTTATATCAGATAAACAAGCCCCTTCACGGTCATGATTTTGCTAAGTTCGTACAAACACGGATATAGTTGAAACACAGTCAGATAATAATTACTTTCATTTACTTGAACTGTTGTACATGCATGGTATGTTATGTTCAAAATATAAAAGTAATGCTGTACCACTGGAATTGTGATATCATTTGGTTTTGGCTGTATAAGGTTGTTTACTTCTGTATAGTTTATTACCGGACTACAAATTCGTCCGCCCTACCGGACTACAAATTCATTGATCTCCAATGCCGGAATCAGTCAACAAACAGGGCAATAGCAATCATCAACAAAAAAATAATCTACATCTTTATGCTGTACATTAACAAGTATTTATTCATGCATGTGTATGCTGTCTAGTGAGGTTTGTTGATTTTCTATCAAGTGGTCAATAATATTACAAACAATTATAATATAGACACGATTAAAGAACTATTTCAAGAAGCTATCGTGCATCAACGACTGCACGCTTGCTTTATTTGCCTTCAATAATTGAAAACATATACTCACCTCAGACTGAGCTTGCAGCTGCTTAAATAAAGGGTCCGTTTTGAATTTTCCCAATTGATCTTCAACGACACGAGGCATGGTTAACGAGCTGTGGTTTACCCTGCTCTAAAAATGGCTGTCGTGGAGGATATGGCAGTTACAGATAATTTAATGTGTAAAGGTCAGGGGTTTGTAGTTGATACTGGTGAACAGTGGGTTGTTGACATGAGAGCATTAAAATTGTCAGCCTTGCAAGGACAACGCAGTCTAGATAACGACAGGCTATAACACATGCATGATACACTGCTATATATGAGGGATATACTTCACGTATTAAGTTGCCGGAACAACGGTGATTCTGGTTAACCGCAGAATGTTAGTTTATAGAAATACAACCGGCCGGTATCGAGTGTCCTGGTGTTTCATGTAATAACATACGAGGGTAAACAAAATATTATCACAGAATCAATATGGCTTTAGAGAAAACAGATCCACAGAGCTTGCAATTAGTCAACTAACTAATAAAATTACTAAAGCAATTGATCAAGGAGAATACACAATAGGTATTTTTCTAGATTTGTCCAAAGCCTTTGATACTATCAATCACAAGATTCTGATTCAAAAACTCCAACATTACGGTATACGCGGAATAACTCAACAATGGTTCTTAAATTATTTAACAAACAGAAAGCAAATAGTTAAATATAATCAAACTAGATCAGAAGAGATGGTAATAAAATGTGGTGTTCCACAAGGATCTATACTTGGACCAATATTATTTCTGCTATATATAAATGATATTGAGTATTGTAGCAAATTGCTTTCATTTATATTATTTGCAGACGACACGACTATATTTCATAGCAACAGCTGTCTTAAAACACTTAATACTATTATCCAAACTGAATTAAATAGAGTGGTTAAATGTAAATATTAAAGTTATCCCTAAATATGAAAAAACCCCGAAATTTATCTTATTCAGATCTTCAAATAAAAAACCTAAACTGGACATGAAAATTAATATAAACAATGAGGAAATTGAACAAGTCAAATAATATACTATACGTTTCTTGGTATTATTATTGATGAATGTTTGACCTGGAAAGATTATATATATTAACAAAATAGTGAAATTGATAACAAAAGCCTCCGGAATAATAGCAAAAATTAGACATTATATGAGTAGAAACGCGTTAAAACTAATTTATTATGCATTGGTCTATCCATATCTTATTTACGGCAATTTGGTGTGGGGTAATACCTACAACAGCAGAATTCAAACAATTATGAATATACAGAAAAAAATTGTTCGCCTAATGACATTTAATTCGTATTTGGAACACACTAAGCCTATTTTCAAAGAATTAAGACGTTTTGAAGGATTGGACATTGGTAAGAAATATTTGAGGACTGACTTAGTGTTTAACACTGACGAGAGTTGACGGTCACGCATTGTTACAGGGCACATTTCAAGCTCTAGATTAACAAAATAAAGATTTGATGAGTGTCCCAACTATGTTTGAACTTAAGTAGAATACATGATAGTGTTGGGAAAGCAGACAGCTAAAACCAAGATCGCGTGACTGCCACTAACTCTCATGCAGCGGTGAAGTTAGCCTTGCGAACAGGCTCTCAAGCTGAATTGAGAGCCTGCATCGATGACTAATGAATTTGAATATCTGCCCCGTAACGTTCGTTTTTCCAAATATGGAATGTCTATCCTTATATGGTGTTGTTTACAACTTTCGTGCAAACTAAATTTAGACCGTACAGTTTATACTGTTTTTCGAAATATAAGATATTCAAGCAAAAGTTCAAATGTTTTAAATACTGTTTTCTCAAAACAGAACATTTCGTGCTTTGAGATAAGACCAATTTGATCAGTTAATGTGTTTTTTATGCATAGTGCTTCAGCAGTTGACATATATAGAGCTCAGCGGAAACATATAAATTATAGCATCTGACCAATGAGAATTTCGCGTCACGATTTGAGACGCAGATATTCAAATTCATTAGTCACCGATGCAGGCTCTCAATTGAGCTTGAGAGCCTGTTCGCAGGCTACGGTGAAGTGTTTTCCTTGGGCACTTGAAATTCATCTATGCCTGTGGAGCCGAACAAAAAGACATGCGGTTTCAATGATTGAGTATAAACATGTGTGGTAAAATAACAATGAAAACTCGGTTTTGAGGTATACAGTTTAAAGTTTACACACGTATGATGTGTCCAGGTTGAAATTAAAGTACGCAGGTGTCCTGCACGGTTGAAATTAAACTGTTTAAAAAGTTTTTGTTACAATACAAACGTATGGTCTTACTTTATTGAAGGTATAATTAAACACATGCTGAGCCGCCGGCGGATGATACGACAGATATTCCTGTAAACGACGAGTGATGAATTGTATATGAAATAACATTGAGTAATGGCAGTAATTCAAACCATCAGTGATAAGGTTATTGATCTACAATAATCAGTTCGAAACTGTTTGAAGCAACAGGAAACGCTTGTTAGGGGCCACCTGTGGCGCCACAGATATAGGTTTCGGCATGCAATTTCTCCGACAAAAACGGCACTGATCTCTATATAAATAGTACTGCATGCATTCCATCTCAATTTTTGTCCGCAAAAGTGATTTTTGCTTGCTAAATTATACATCAAATTGCTTCAAAGGGGCTGGTCTATCTTCGGCACAAGTTTGGATACTTTGGCTAAGTATTTATCGAGCAATTTGTTATTTTCACTTTGAGGATTGATGGTCAAGACGTAATATATGAACAACGAGAGCGAGTGTTTCACCGGGATATCCAAACACGAGAAAACAATGTATGAAAACACGAGCGCGAAGCGCGAGTGTCTTCATACATTGTTTTCAAGTGTTTGGATATCCCGGTGAGACACGAGCTCGAGGGTTAGGGTTGAATCGAGACGTAACAGAATGTGAATAGATTTGAATAGAATTCTTAACCAAGCATAACGTAATTAGGAATTCTATTCAAGTAATTTTGCATCCGTAATTAAGATATTTGATGAAAACACTAGTGACTTTCATCAAGTTTCACCGGGTTATCCAAATGGCATCTTGTGATCAAATAGGTGATTATCATTGGCTGAGAATTATTAATGAATTTGAGAAATGTTCTAGGAAATGCTTTATATTTAGCGACTCAATCAATCTTCTATCTTTGACACTTTGTTGCAGGTTTGGATACTTTTGCCAAAGCATTTATGGAGCAATTTGTTACATATAAAGGGAAGCCGATTTTTGGCAAATATATACGAAGTTTTTCCGAAAAGCTATACTGACTAACACGAACTTGTATTTCAAAATATTACAAAAAGTACAATTAGCAACCTAACGCTCAATAGAGTGACCTTGTTACAAACATTCCCCTGGAATCATGCACGAGGTCAGACAACTGTTTAATGATCTGTAAATTAGCACAGACTATGTCTATACGCTATACCGTATCCATTGCTTGTTCATGGCAGCGAACAGTTATACCTATAAAGATTGTACTCAATAGCGTATCCATTGCTTGTTCATGGCAGCGAACAGTTATACCTATAAAGATTGTACTCAATTTCTAGTTATCTGTAAATTAGCACACAATACATAGATCTCGCCACGCTGCTTGTTTATAAGAGTAAAAATCGTATCTAAAAACTGTAATCTAATTTATTTCTTATAATAAATACAAATTTCTACATTTCCACTTTGAATTTTTTCTATGTACATGTTCACGCTTCAAGCGTTGTAATAATGTAGCCAATCACAATATTTATTGCACAAAGATAAGCTGTTCGTCGTGGTTTCATAAACACCAGCCAAGTATAAGCGCGCAGGTCAACAAATTCCAACGCGAACGAGTTCAAATTGACACCCTACGTGTACTTCAGTATTTTTAATACCTTTTGTCGGCAGCACTGCATTGCCTAAACATTCCTTGTACAGAATAGTCCAGAAAAATACAATTCTGATTTCTTGGCACATTTGTAGAATGCATGGTAATGTAGCAAATTAAAACAGCTTTCACCAGTAAACGATTCCTCCATATCATATTATATAGGAAAGCCTGTTCGCAGGCTATAATACCACATAGATCTATGCCTTTCTTTAATAGGAATGTTCGGTACGAGACTTTTCCGGTATCGGTATACCGGAAATATTACACCGATATTATCGGTACACCGGTTTTTCGCCTTTCAAATTAGATAGGAAAATAAAATAAATCGATATTGGTTTCAATATCGATATTTTCGGTATACGGAACATTCCTACTCTCTTAAGGTGGCGAAGAGCCTGCATAATCAGCGGAAAATATTAATTTCATTGCAATAATCTCAATTTGCAATTTCTTGTCAGGTTTGTAGAATGTAGTATGTCCTAAAATAAAGCAGGTTTCTCCAGTGTTCGATAAACGACTGCATCGGAAACACTGCTTTGAAAGGTGAAAATATTCTTTTCCACTAAATTCCAGGAATTTCTTTTATCATGTCACGCAGTGTTTAGTATGAAGATGTGATTGACTTGAAATGTCAAGCATAGGCGTCGAAAGATCGATAAGTGGGGGGGGGGACTATATTCATATATTCGTGTTCTGCATTATTAATTTCTTTTGAAATCGATTGTTTTTAATGTCTGTGAACACGAATATATGAATATGGTCCCCCCCCACTTATCGATCTTTCGACGCCTATGACGTCAAGTAATAAATAACGTATGTGATTTAAGGCTTGAAATTGTCGGCTACTTCAAACAGCGTAGCAGCATTATACTGAATGTAGTGGAATGAAAACAGGCCACTAAAAACACGACGCCAAATTAAAGTATCCAAAATGTATATGATTCTCAGTCTGATATTGCCACAACCCATCGAACATTATCGGCGTAGAAACGTAGCAGAACTCACTGATAAAATTCTGTGGTGGACTAGATCACCTATTCTCTTTTTCCCGAACTGTAACAGGAAGGTGTCTCGACAAACGTAGAATTGTGAAGAATTTTGAGATCGAATGGATAAACTATCCAGTGTTTTTGAAAGAGGGTATTTCGGGCACCAGAAAATGAGCACACAAATGTTTTCACGCAAAATAATACCGGGTACCTTTACTTCGCCGCGATGTTATTTTACTCCAGTGAGGAGAAGAGAAGTGACAGTTCACGATACAGGCTCCCACTTCTGCCCGGAACGTTCAACTTGGTTTGGACTACTCCACGTAATGACATCAGGTGCGCATGACATGTCTGGCATTTTTGAAACCTAATGAATTGACAGTTTTCATGAGCTACACACGTAAACATCTCACAAGTTGTTACAAATCTGTAAACAAGTTGTTACAAATCTGTTCACAAGCTGTCAACAAGTTGTGTTCGCACTGCTTGTTCCCAGTTGTTGGAACAAGTTCGGGACAAGCTGTTAACGACTTGTAACAAGCTTGATGGCATTATCAGACTTGTCACAAGGTAACACTAACAAGTCTGATACGGTCATGATATAACAAGAATGTTACAAGGTTGACGACGCAAGGTTGTAACAATATTGTTATATCATGACTGTATCGGACTTGTTGGAACAACTTTGTAACAAGCCTGATAATATCAACAAGGTTGTTACAAATTGTTAACAGCTTGTTCCAAACTTGTTGACAACTTGTGACAAGCAGTGCGAAGACAACTTGTCGACAAACTTGTTACAATATTGACATTTTTGCGTGTGTACACACGTAAAAATCTCACAACTTGTCAACAAGATGTGTTCGCAACAGGCTTGCAGCAAGCTGGTCAACAAGTTGTAACAATGCTGTTATTCTATCGAGTTGCCATAAGGTTGTCACTCACAACTTGTCGAGAAATTGTTGAACTGCAGGACGATAACAAGTTGTTGGAACAACTTGTAGCAAGTCTGTTAAGCTCAACAATCTTGTAGCAAGTTGTCGACAAGCTGGGAACAAGCAGTGCGAACACATCCTGTTGACAAGTTGTTGGAACAGCATTGTCACAACTTGTCAACAAGCTGGGAACAGGCCGTGCGAACACATCCTGTAGACAAAAAAAAAACACATTTAACTACTAGTTCTAGTCCCCAAATACTCACCGTTCCTCTCGGACAACGTCAACGCCAACCGCTACAGGAGGAGCAGCCATATTGCTTTTTATGACAGGAGCGAAATTTCTGAGCACAAGTTTGACGACAGATGCTCCAGTTTGAATATAACTAAACAACATATAAACATTTTAACAGGATTGTACAATAAATGATTGTGATAGTCGATAGATAGTGAGTGATGCTAAATGGTGATAAAATATCATTGTTGATAGTGGATGTTGGTAAATTATACTAGATTATATGGCAGTGCATTTTTTAAACGTTTTACAGTGGGGGGGGGGGGGGGGAAGGGGCAAAACCAAGATTAGGGCCTAGTGTGTGCTCCCCAGAGTAAGATTTAGGTCACTCAGGGTAAGGTTAGGGGCCAGTCTGACGCACTAATTACACACGTAAAAATCTCACAACTTGTCAACAAGACGTGTTCGCAACAGGCTTGTAGCAAGCCTGTCAACAAGTTGTAACAATGCTGTTATTTTATCAAGTTGCTACAAGGTTGTCACTCACAACTTGTTGATAAATTGTTGAGTTGCAGGATGTTGAGTTCAATAACCTTGTAGCAAGTTGTCAACAAGCTGTTGACAACTTGTCAACAGACTGGGAAAAAGCAGTGCGAACACATCCTGTTGACAAGTTGTTGGAACAGCCTTGCTACAGGTTTGTTACAACTTGTGCGTTTTTACGTGTGTAGTAGGGCCTGCGGAACCAAATGGCTTCTTCCCCTGCATATATGTTAAATATGCTTTGTGTTATAGTACGTACTTCGATGATTCAGAATAGTATTGGCTCTATAATATAGAACATTTATCTTTTTTTAAAACTATGTTTAAAACCTATTTTTAAAAATACAACACAAGATACCTTTCATATCTGCTTATAAGCAACTCTCGTACATTTGGTAGAACAAGTGAACAAAGATCTAAAGTCCACAGGGTTCTGAAAAAATGAACAGTTTATTTAGTTCGTGTTTAGACTTGCCACACAGTCGCCCGCTCAGGGATTGGAGTAGTCTCGTCTACGGGCATCTCGTAGCCCATCTGGGGCCAGTTGTTCAAAGACGGATTAGCGCTCACCCTCGGTTAATATTTAACCTGCGATTCTGTTTTGTGTATTTCTGTATACGTCTCCTTATTTCAAAACTTCAGCTAATCACTTCATCAACTCCTATCGACCAAGCCAAATTTATAGACAAGCTGTCAGGAACTCGGGCTTAACCTCGGGTTGGTTTACACTATCAAAGTTTCTGTGATCACAGTAGGAATTAGCCGTAGGTGAACTCTAAGTTTTGAAATATTTGTAAGAAATGTTTGAGGGGACTGTTAAATTGTTAAACACCGAGTCAGTCGAACAACCAGCCCAGGGTTGCTTGGCTTAGTTTAGACCCGAAACCAAGTTGTTAACAAGTTGTGACAATGCTGTTCAAACAATTTGTCAACAAGATGTCTCCTCAACAGGCTTGTAGCAAGCTTGTTAACAAGTTCTGACAATGCTGTTCCAACATCATGTCAACAAGATGTCTCCTCAACAGGCTTGTAGCAAGCTTGTTAACAAGTTGTGACAATGCTGTTCCAACAATTTGTCAACAAGACTTTTCGCAACAGGCTTGTAGCAAGCTTGTTAACAAGTTGTGACAATGCTGTTCCAACAATTTGTCAACAAGACGTTTCTCAACAGGCTTGTAGGAAGCTTGTTAACAAGTTGTGACAATGCTGTTCCAACAATTTGTCAACAAGACTTTTCGCAACAGGCTTGTAGCAAGCTTGTTAACAAGTTGTGACAATGCTGTTCCAACAATTTGTCAACAAGACTTTTCGCAACAGGCTTGTAGCAAGCTTGTTAACAAGTTGTGACAATGCTGTTCCAACAATTTGTCAACAAGATGCCTCCTCAACAGGCTTGTAGCAAGCTTGTTAACAAGTTGTGACAATTCTGTTGCAGCAACTTGTCAACGAATTTTTTCTCAACAGGTTTGTAGCAAGCTTGTTAAGAAGTTGTGACAATGCTGTTCCAACAATTTGTTAACAAGATGTCTCCTCAACAGGCTTGTAGCAAGCTTGTTAACAAGTTGTGACAATGCTGTTGCAGCAACTTGCCAACGAAATTTTTCTCAACAGGTTTGTACCAAGCTTGTTAAGAAGTTGTGACAATGCTGTTCCAACAACTTGTCAACAAGATGTGTTTGCAATAGGTTTGCACCAAGCTTGTTAACAAGTTGTGACAATGCTGTTCCAACAATTTGTCAACAAGAGTTTTCGCAACAGGTTTGTAGCAAGCTTGTTAACAAGTTGTGACAATGCCACATGCTCCAACTTGTCAACAAGATGTGTTTGCAATAGGTTTGTTGCAAGCTTGTTACCAAGTTGTCACAATGCTGTTCCGTTACCAAATTCTGCCCGTCAATCTCAAGGCGATACCTGTGGTGGAGACTGGGATTGCAGTATTATATATATTGGCATAGTAATATTAACTTACTGTTTAAGAGAAAGTACGCTTAAAAAGTCCACCAAAGTTGATTGATCATTCATATTGATTGCTGTCTGGGCAGCACCCTTTATATCACCGTCCTTCCATTGTCTCCAGACGATAGTGAGATTTCGATGTCTATTTGTGATGACCGCAGTAAATGGCGTGTGCCCTAAATATATGAACACAATCAATTACTTCAAACACCATAAGTAATTGCATAGTATGGTGGTGGCGATAATAATGTGGTATTATCGGTCTCGCGTGACTTCATTACACCTCAATCAAGATTTTGATAATAACTCACCTTTTGGAATAACGTCAGCTGCTACCGTTCCGGTAATCTTCGGTGCTGACGGAATATCCCGATCAGGATTGACCTCTTTCTTCGCGAGAGGCACATCATTATCCTGTAATGATGTTAGCTGATATCAACAGCACTTCGAAATAGTTGAACTAATTACTAACTTTATTTATACTAGATGATAGCTCTATCAGTTCTAAACTATTCTTTCTAGAGGTCTAGTAAGGGTAATCTCTTATTGATCCAGTGTTACTACAGGAGGAAACCTAAAATAAACTAACTTTATTTATGTTGGATAGCTCTATCAGTTCTAAACTATTCTCCATAGAGGTCTAGTAAGGGTCATCACTTATTGATCCAGTGTTACTACAGGAGGAAACCTAAAATAAACTAACTTTATTTATGTTGGATAGCTCTATCAGTTCTAAACTATTCTTCCTAGAGCTCCAGCGAGGGTCATCGTTTATTGATCCAGTGTTACTACAAGAGGCCCTAAAATAAATTAACTTCATTTATGTTGGATAGCTCCATCAGTTCTAAACTATTCTTCCTAGAGGTCCAGTAAGGGTCATCTCTTATTGATCCAGTGTTACTACAAGAGGCCCTAAAATAAACTAACTTTATTTATGCTGGATAGCTCTATCAGTTCTAAACTGTTCTTCCTAGAGGTCCAGTAAGGGGCATCTCTTATCGATCCAGTGTTACTACAGGAGAAAGTATAAAATAAACTAACTTTATTTATGTTGGATAGCTCTATCAGTTCTAAACTATTCTCCCTAAGCGTCCAGCAAATGGGAAACTGGAAGCATTCATGGGACTGACGTGAACTTATAATCAGTGAACTGTATATTACAGGAAATGAATCGCGATCGCAAAGTGAAGACACATACTGTACAGGCATTAATCACGATCCAAGACAAAACGACCCACTTACAGGTAAGAAATCTTCCATATATAATCCAGCAGGTTTTTTACGTTCGGATGGAACCAACGTACTTGGTTTACCGGAGGGAATATGGTCAGGCTCTTCTGGGGATAACATCTGAAATGAGACAATATATGTATACAGAACATGTGCAAGATAAGACTGACATAATGACATTCTGCTTGTTTTACCGAAAGAAATCCTGTTTAACATTGACAGTTTTACCAGGCCTACAAAATATATTTCTCTTTCTGGCAGCAAAATTTTGACATTTTTTGGTTGCTTAGGGTCTACACTTCGTAAGAACGTTTTTTTCTGTAAAATTGAAACAGTCTGTGATAGCCATTCATCTCTGTGTCAAGTACCATTTTAATGCAATGTTTTCAAAGAAACTTTCTGGTATAATTGTAATGAAGGGCAGAATTGGATGAGTTGTACAGTCATAATTCATTAATACACTGATAAATATGTACACTTCATGCATACGTCACGTCGTTGAGTTTGGCCCATTCTAAGCCCTAACTTTCCATGGGGGTCGTGAGCTACACCGCTGCACCTCCCTAAATTGTTTCCACCCACTATTTCCACCAAAATCCAGCCTTGCTGCTGGCGCTGCCGAACATTTTCCAGGACTGGGTTTTACCTTTTTCTCCTGTGCTTTCTTGCCAACATTGGACGGTGCAGATGACGCTGGTTGCTGTTTACTTTGTATATTCTGCTTGGGAGCTTTTTCAGGTACATTTTTCTGGATTTTTTCAGGCACGTTTTTCTGAACTTTTTCAGGCATATTTTTCTGAACTTTTTCAGGCATATTTTTCTGTATTTTTTCAGGCATATTTTTCTGGATTTTTTCAGGCAAGTTTTTCTGGATTTTTTCAGGCACGTTTTTCACCGGTAATTTATCTGGCTTGCTTACTGTAGGCTCCTCACGAGATTCAGGATTGATTTCTATATGGAGAACAATCGTGGTCAGTACATCTCAAACTCATTAATAATTCATGAGTAAATAAGCCAACCATATTGCTCTATTTTGCTCAGGGGGGTGTGCACCCCCTAGCCCTGGCCAGAGGGGGTGCAGGGGGGTGCTATTTTTCATGATAAAGCAAAAAATTATTAGAGACAAAATGAGATACAGTAATTTGAGTAATAACATGATGATAAGCGAACTGTGAACAACAATTACAATATTTCAAATACTGTAGTCAAGCAAGATTTTGCAGCAGTGAAGCAAGATTTTGCAGCAGTGGGCGGGCGGCACACATGACCGACACAACTTTGCACCAGAGCTGGCAGAGCACCTCTCCCTACCAGATCATGCTGGACCCATCCCTGATGAAGTACATTGATCCAGTCCTGGACATCGATCCAGTCATTTCAAATCCGACTATGAGAACAGGACTAGATTTCAAGTCCTCGCATTTTGATCAATGGACTAATCCCATATTAATCAAAATCTTTATCTCAACAAGTCTAGACAAAATTCCATCACAGCATGAAAGAGCATCACAAAATTAGTAATATTCCCAAGTTTCGTTGCGAAATCAGGTGGTTAAAATGCGGATAATATAGCCTTGCGAAGTTTGTAATTTTCAGTCATTTTGTATACAAACGGGAAAAGGTTCATCACTTCGGAAAATTTCTCGCGCGTAATACAAAATGACTGAACATTGCAAACTTCGCAAGGCTATATTATCCGCATTTTACAACATTTCGCAACGAAACATTGGAATATTGCTAATTCTGTGATGCTCTTTCAAGATGTGATGAAAATTTTGTCTAGACATGTTGAGATAAAAAATTTTGGTTAATGTGGGATTGATCCATCAGCGCAAACTTGAAATCTAGTGCAGTGCTCATGGTCGGATTTGAAATATTACATAAAATATGCGATAATTCGCGTACTTATAGTACCGGTGGTACGCCAGCTTCTGTTTTGTTAGCTACGTACCACAATACTCTTCTAATTTGCGTATACTTAACGATTTGCTTATATCATTTGACCTGTCCAAGCCCAAGTTATTCAAAACCATAACTTAGTCGGAATATGGGCAAGTGTAGTATGACTGGGCAACATGATTGGACTGATTTCATGTGACATGATAACATGATTGGACTGATATGTGCACTGGCACAAAAGTATATACTACCGGATTTGTTCTCGCACTTATCACCTTGTGGCTGTTCTTCAGCTGTCTGAGAGGGATATCTTGCACGGGGTGGCGGTGAACGTTCTACGAAAAAAACAACAACAAACGTACAGTATACTGACGGGTTTCAGAAAACGTTTTGACCACTTACAATTCAACCGCAGCGTACAGTAACCATGACCGCAGGCTAATCGCAAACAACGTAACCAAATCACAACTAACGGTTTATGTCTGTGGCTTAAGCCCATAGACGGATTTTCTGGGGGATGCAGGGGGTATGCATCATCACCTCAAAATTCCCTGGGTGCAACATCACCGTGAACCACTAGACCTTACCCAAAGCAGATCGTGGTGTAAATGCAGAGCCATAGTCGTCAATTTGCGAGTTTTTTACAGGTGTACTTGGCTTTTTCTCAGCTTCTACTTTGGGTTTTCTAAGCAGAAGTAGATATACATAGCAACATAAGATACTGGGTTCGTTCAGGTCAGGAAGAGTTAAATTCAAGGATTTTTCAAGGACTTTCAAGGCCATATATCAGGAAATTCAAGGACTGAAGGCCCATTTCCACTCAGGAAAATTTTCCGCGGAATGAAAAATTTGTAAAATGTGATTGGCCGACACAAATTTTCCATCGGAAAAAAAATTTTGAAGTTCAAAATTTTCAACTTTTAACAATGATATTTTCGGAAAATTTTCTGTCCGTAGAATATTTTCTTGAAGGCGTTAGAAATCAGTCAAAAGTGACGTTTTAAACTGTTCAAACGCCAACTTTAATGAATTTCAAACAGCTTTGGCCTTTGTAAGACATGAACAAAATCAATTTGCAAAATGTCCAATTCTTAATGTCAAACAATTTCAGATAATATCCACTGAACTCTAAAGCAAGAACAATTTAAGGACTTTCAAGCACTTCTTTATAAACTCAGGGACGTTCAAGGCCTTGAATTTTTGTTTCCCAATTCAAGAACTTTCAAGGATTTTCAAGTTTTGTACGAACCCGGAAGATAGTTCGAAATTAAGTTGATTGAAATGGTAAACATAGTCAGGCTAAAGTGCATAGTTTATCCATTGGAGAGGCTTAGATTTGACTACCGGTACCATTAAGTGATTATTAACCAATCAGATGCGTTTCATATATCCGATTAACCAATCAGATGCGTTTCATATATCCGATTAAACAATCAGATGCGTTTCATATATTCAATTAACCAATCAGATGCAGACTAAACCAGCGAGAGGAAGTGATATCTGAACCTTTCTATTGTGAGTACCTTGTTTTAGATGAACTGGTAACTGGTCGTTTTGATTCAAACACTTTTCGTTGAGGGCTAGTTTTCTTTTCTTCATTGTGCTTCACTTCATTATTCGGCCTTGCAACCTAAACAGAATTTTCAAATTAAATACCACACACAGACACGACAGACAGACATATATGTACTACCCACAATGGACACCACGGTCGAGAAACCCACCTGAGCGACTTGTGGTTCATTATCGTTGACTTGTAATTCGTCAAAATTTGACACCATTTCTTCAACATTCTACGCAAAATAAACCTCGTCTTAAAAATGAACTAATGTACATTGCACACTTACTACAGTACACCTTGGGTGTAAATAGTAATGCCACGACCAAACGACAACAATAGTTGCGTGAGAGTTGATGCGAGTTCAGTGGATGTGACCAGTCAAACTGTCAAAGGAGCAAAAACTCTCATCAACTGTCATCAAATTTTGAACCACCTCAAAATTGATGAACTAAATTAAATGTGCATTGCAGGGCGCGAAATAACGGCTGGAGGGACGCCGGTCAAGGTGACCGGCCAACTCAATTTTAGCTTGGACATACCGTATTTCTGGCCGGTCGTATTATTCAGCTTAAAGCAAAGCCTAGTATATAAAGTATACCCCTAAAATGTGACTATTTTCCCAGTACTCCCAGTATAGCATTACAAAAAGCCTTACTGTAATCAGTAATTAAAAACTCCTTCACATAAAACAACTTGCACTGCGCTAAAACCATGGCCTTAATTAACTCTTAAGCCAAAAGCATGGCCATGGGCTTTGTGACGTACTGCGTGGGAAAGCTGGCGTACATTGAAGTTGTTTTCCCGCAAGATATTGGACAACATGTTATGGTTCTTAATTATAATGCTTGACAACTTTGTTTTGATTATTAATTCAAATGAAGATTAGTTGTTTGTTCTTTTACCAAAAGTAACTGGTCAAAATGACCGGCAAGGTAAGAATTTGACCGGACAATTCCGCATTCTGGCCGGACATTGTCCGTTGACCGGCCGTTATTTCGCGCCCTGAATGTGCATTGCACACTTACTACAGTACACCCAGGCCCCGGCCAAACGAGAGGAATAGTTGCGTCAGAGTTGATGAGAGTTCACTGGATGTGACCAGTCAAAAGAGCAAACTATCATCAAATTTTGAACCAGCTTAAAATTGATGAACTAATGTACATTGCACACTTACTGCAGTACACCCAGGGTGTAAATATAGTAATGCCACGGCCAAACGACAACAATAGTTGCGTCAGAGTTGATGAGAGTTGACCGGATGTTACCACCAGTCAAAAGAGCAAACTCTCATCAACTGTCATCAAATTTTGAACCACCTCAAAATTGATGAACTAATGTACATTGCGCACTTACTGCAGTACACCCAGGATGTAAATAGTACTAAAATTGATGAACTAATGTACATTGCACACTTACTGCAGTACACCCAGGGTGTAAATATAGTAATGCCACGGCCAAACGACAACAATAGTTGCGTCAGAGTTGATGAGAGTTGACCGGATGTCGACCAGTCAAAAGAGCAAACTCTCATCAACTGTCATCAAATTTTGAACCACCTCAAAATTGATGAACTAATGTATATTGCGCACTTACTACAACAGTACACTCAGGATGTAAATAGTAATGCCACGGCCAAACGACAACAATCATCAAATTTTGAACCACCTCAAAATTGATGAACTAATGTACATTGCGCACTTACTGCAGTACACCCAGGATGTAAATAGTACTTGTTGCGTCAGAGTTGATGAGAGTTTACTGGATGTTACCAGTCAAAAGAGCAAAAACTCTCATCAACTGTCATCAAATTTTGAACCACCTCAAAATTGATGAACTAATGTATGTTGCGCACTTACTACAACAGTACACTCAGGATGTAAATAGTAATGCCACGGCCAAACGACAACAATAGTTGCGTCAGAGTTGATGAGAGTTGACTGGATGTTACCACCAGTCAAAAGAGCAAACTCTCATCAACTGTCATCAAATTTTGAACCACCTCAAAATTGATGAACTAATGTACATTGCGCACTTACTGCAGTACACCCAGGGTGTAAATAGTACCATCAAATTTTGAACCACCTCAAAATTGATGAACTAATGTATGTTGCGCACTTACTACAACAGTACACTCAGGATGTAAATAGTAATGCCACGGCCAAACGACAACAATCTAGTTGCGTCAGAGTTGATGAGAGTTGACTGGATGTTACCACCAGTCAAAAGAGCAAACTCTCATCAACTGTCATCAAATTTTGAACCACCTCAAAATTGATGAACTAATGTACGTTGCGCACTTACTACAACTTACAGTACACTCAAGATGTAAATAGTAATGCCACGACCAAACGACAACAATCAAATTTTGAACCACCTCAAAATTGATGAACTAATGTACATTGCGCACTTACTGCAGTACACCCAGGGTGTAAATAGTCCTTGTTGCGTCAGAGTTGATGAGAGTTTACTGGATGTTACCAGTCAAAAGAGCAAACTCTCATCAACTGTCATCAAATTTTGAACCACCTCAAAATTGATGAACTAATGTACGTTGCGCACTTACTACAGTACACCCAGGGTGTAAATAGTAATGCCACGACCAAACGAGAGGAATAGTTGGGTCAGAGTGATGAAGAGTTGGTAGTCGAAGTTCGAATGTGAGCGAGTTGCAACTCTCATCCTTGCTGGACCTGAGCTTAATAAGTACGAAACGTTCTTCTCAGCATGCATGCGCATGCGTAATACCTGAAATTCTGCCACCCAGATTGATGCATTCGTTTGAAAGAAAGACGCAGCAACCTACAGAAGGAAAGACAACATGTACAGGCGCTAACAATAGGTACCATAGGGTTGACAATTATACAATAAGGCAACATACCAGTTTCTCAGAAGCGACAACCATATCAGAAACCTTGCCCCATCCCACCGAAAAGCTGTCAAAACAACGCATGGGTTCCCAACCATAGAGCTAGAAAATGAAATTTGAAATAATTACAATTGAAAGAATGTGTGTGTGCACATTCTTTTTACAGTATCATTTACACTCAAAACACGTTTTGGATGCGTTGCAAAATACTTTTCGAACGCATTCCGGACAAAAATTGTGAACATAGGCCCTGTACTGTTTTGCAATTCATCAACTGATTATTCAATCTCTAGAGTACACTACACTGTAGATTTATGAAGTTCGTTTCTAGACAAACCTTTAGTGAATCATTGGAACCACTAAACATACATTGTCCTTCTGGATGGAATGCCACAGCTCTTTGACAAAGAAAAAAATTCAATTAAATTTTTACTCATTAATTATTCATGAGCAAAACACAAATGAAATTATCACAGACTGTATCATTTAATGTACGTTTACACAAAACGATTAATTGGGCCGATTCAGCTTTAATTAAATGATATTTGAAAAATACGCTAGCCTGTCAATGTCATTAGACGACGTCGTCAACTATAACAATTACATTCGTCATTAACATTTGGCAAAACCTTAATTCAGCCTGATTAATCGTTGTGTGTAACAGAGGTTCAGATTTGTCTTCCACTACCAACATCTCTCACAGGCTTAAATATGCATTTCATTGGTTATAATCACTCAGATAGAATAAATGCATCTGATTGGGTGAAGATAACGGTAGCGAAAGTCAAATTTTGAATTTCTCTATTGTCTTGATCAAGGTCTTGATAATAATGGTAATATAAACATCGATAAATTTATGAAATTTTCTGTCAACTTTATCTTACCTGATTGGGTTTGACTCTTGCTCTGTTGATGAAACCAAACAGATTTTTTCCAAATCCCAAAATTTTACTGTCCTACAATATGCAAGAAACCATTAATTAACTAGGTGTAATGTTATATGTATTATATAAAGGTACAACTGTACTGTACCTGTCTCCACTACCAGTTGCCATAAGAAATTCTTTAGGATGAAACTCGACTGTGTTCACAGGACCTGCATGCTTTACTTCTGATAACTGTTTACCAGCCGTTAGATCCCAGAGCTAAACAATCATAGAATAATTTCATCTTAGAGTAAATTAAGTTCTAAATTGAACCAACAAAATAGAAAACTACGATGTAGATGCAATGACTAATTGCCACACCTTGCAGAGACTGTCTTCACCCGCAGAGACAATCCATCTTCCATCTGGACTAAATCGTAAGTGGTTTACAACATCTGTATGGCCCTATAAAAATCATACCAAACATTGGACGTGTTAGCCACGGTAGTAGATATAACAAATTGACACTTAAAGCGTTAGACTTAGTTTTATACCTTAAACGTCATAATACAGCCTTTTCTTCTTATGTCCCAAACCTTGAAAGTGAAATTACGTCAGCAAATGACTTCTTATGTACAATGTCATAAACGGAAAATAATTGTAAACAGAAAGAGAATTGAATTCATTGGTTAGCATATGACTGACCTTCACATTTGTATCCATTGAACCAGAGGTAATATATTCACCATACGGATGAAAATCTGTGCATTTTATGCTAGACTTGTGTCCAGTCAAGGTGCGAGTGACTAAAACAAAATAATCATTGACAATCAGGTAGGAGGGTACAAAATTTCAGGGGGTATGCTCCAAATGCCATTGCACACATACAGTAAATCCAAAGCAAGCTAAGTCTCAAGGTAAGCTAATAGAAGGAATCAGACTTTCTAGGAGGGGGCAGGGTACAGTACCGCAAATGGTACGTGGTTGGCAAGTCCTAGATAATGCAGAGGAATGTTAGCACCCCATGCACCAAACCCCTGTACTTAGGCCTAAAAAAATACCTGTGGTTCCGGTTTCATATCGTGGGAAAGGGTGGCGTAGGTAGGTCGGAAATAAATTTTTTTTGAATATTTTTTTCATGGTTTTGGCAGTTTTTTGCTGGACGATTTTCAGTAGAGTCCCAACATCAATATAACTAGAGATGCGTATTTCCTACGGACGAATTTAGGCAATTTGGTTCAATAATTAGTTTGACAACAGACGCCATTTTGGCATGCTGTATATGAACATGCAGCCAGCAACCACCCAGAGAAAATAGGGTCGCACGGTCAATTGCGTTGAAAAAATAATAGGGTCGGCAGAAAAAAAGGGTCGGTCGGGAAACCGGAACCACATGTATGTTTTCAGGCCTTATATTTATATTCATAGATGAGCCGTTGCATTCTAATGTTTCACAAATATTAGGAATTTTGGTAACTACTGGTTTGAAACTAACATCTGAGGGATGCGAGGAGGGTGCACCCCTATATTCTGAAGGGTCAACATTTGAGATCCATAGATCTTTAGAATTTTTTAAAGCATTATTGGTGCTGCTGTTTTTCAAAGCGAAGGGGTGAAAACTACGGAGGGGTGCACCCCAATAAATCCTGTCTCCAGTATTGCACTTACTTTTGGCAGCTTCTACATCCCAGATTTTCATCGTCCCAGATTGTGAACCAGCCACAACACATTCTTCAAGAGGATTAAACTGTACACTCTCGACAGGACTTGTATGACCAGAAAGACTCTAGAAACATGAATGAAAACATACTTATAGCAAGCTAGTTTTTATTTTAATAAGGAAACATATTCATAATAAGTTTCTTGACCTACAGGACCTCTAGCAGGAATCGAACTTGTGGCAGTGCAATTTGGTACACGACTCAGGGAAACACCTATTTGCCGAAAACTAGCTGGAATTTCATGTATACTAGATACATCTTGGGTATAGTTTTTCACTCAATATTTTCATCCATAAATTTGTGCTCCGCCATCTGCTAGCCGGGGGTGCTAGGGAGTTGTTGGGTGGGGGCTTGGGGGGAGGAGCTGAGAAAAGCATGAAATTCAGAATTAATTCATGACAAACATAACATACCAGAATAACATTTGGTTTCCCAACCATCCACATATTAACTTTCCTGTCATCACCACCTGTGACCATAACACTACCAGACGCTGGTCCCAGTGCAAGACAGTTGACATTATGACCATGTGCCACAAATTCATCTGAATATGTATGGTCAGATGTATATTAGGTCAGAATAGACAATCTTTAGTGCTTTCGAAAACAGCATATTTATTAAAATAACTTTTGAATTAATGGACTGACATATATTAGTGTTGTCTGCCTAAATGAACTTGGGAGAAGACATTGCATCCCTGACTGCATTCCATGCACTTTATGAGATCACTAAAAACTAAGTGATTGTCATACAATTCGTTTGTGCTTAAACGTTCATTGTCATATGTACATTTACCATATATCTAACCTACTAATCTGCAATGCATCCAAATGCACCTGACTCTATTATGTTTTACTCTGTCTAATTCCAGACAATTTTACATTGTGGTGGGTCCGCCAGGGTGCATTCTATGTAAACGCCACGCTGAAGGTTTTAAAATACAATTTTTTTTACGCCAAGAAATTTGAAGTCTCACGGCAGCTGACAATAAACTGAATGTAGGACAATAACATTAAAAGCAAAAAATGTTGCTATGACGTAAAACAGAATAATTAAACGAAATAAAAAATCGAGAAATGCGTCTACTAGCTAAATAAACAATTTTACAGTATTCTTTTTCGATAACGATACTCGAACATCGTGTTCAGTTGAATACATTTTAGCTTTAAGAATTAGAAACATTCTCATGATTCGTATTTAATGTTTTGTAGTAGACTTATATTTTTAAATAAATAAAGAAATGTACGCCGGCACCGCCGTGCTGTTACGCCAACATCCTAGCGATTGTAAATTTGTACGCTGTTACGCCAAGAGGAGTACAACTCCACGCCGGAGATCTCCAAACTTTTGTGCACGGAATGCACCCTGGGGTGGGGGGTGGGGGTCTTGCACAGTAAGGATTAGAGCCTCAAATTGGACGGGATCAAATTCCAACTTCAAGAGCATGTCAAAATACATGATGGAGTACAGGACACTCAAATGTCAAAACATTAGGTTTGCAAATATTACAATAAAACTGCCTATTGACAGTTGACAGAACTCAATAAATTGGCATCATATAGGACAACATTTATTTTCTACTTGAACAAAATACTAATTTAATTTTTCAATCCTTGGCAGCAATTTCAAAACCACCTGCCACAATATATTAACACATCCTGGTTCGATCGAGCAATATATATGCAAATCTGAAACTGATATGGGATATAATCACTATAAAAAATTTCATAATCTAACCCAGAACAAAAGCATCCTGTATCTTAAAAAAACAGTGCAAATTTCAATCCCAAACTTTTGCAGAAAACTTTAAATATTAACAAGAAACAAATACATATTTAAAACAAGCAAGATCGACTCACATACAAAACCTACAAGTTTATATAAAAGTGTATTATACAAAGTAATTCACACCTCTGAACGAAGTATCATTTTCTATTTTGCAATTATTAACTGATTATTTCTAGAGGGTTTATAGTACAGCATATTTCCAAATACTGTAAAATGAGTAGCCTAACGCTCATAGCTTCATACCAAGCGCAATTTACAAAAAGATAAATTTGTAATATGTAAACAAGGCCAGACGGGCGCTAAATAATTTGCTAAAACCACAATGACCTGGTTTCACAGTACACAATGAAACCCCGCAGTTATTTGCAGAACGAACTACGTTAGACTCTTTTTACGACAATAGCTAAACAGCAAAGTGGTCTGACAACAAAACGAGAAAAAATTTAAAGTTTTCAACAAAAACTCACGTTGCTTCCAGCACTTTTTGCCAACCGCTCGCGTGGCAACCGCCGACATTTTTCCACTAAAAGCTTTTAATTCTCTCTTGGTTCCATGAGGAATACAATTTACAGAACCAAAGGAAAGCGATACGGTGTCGATTTCATGAGATATTAAAATATTAGTTGAGTTTTTGCAGAGTTTTACACTCCCGAAAATACTATAAATACCATGAAAGTCATGAAATTGAAAAAAAGTTCGTTATGAGCCCAATGTCACACGTGCACTGCGGAGTCTCCCATTGCAAGAAAATTTTTCTGGAAAAATTTGTACATTTTTCTACATTTTCAGAAATTCTACAGTATTTTTAAAGATTTAAAATGTTAAATAAAATACTTTGTTATACCTTCAAATACTTTGATGCCTTCAACCACATGTTAAGTAAATTGGAAAAGAAGAAATTTAGTTGCGAAATTTGTAATTTAGTTGGATGAAAAATCGACTGAAACGTCAGGAAACGAAATTCAGGCTTAGCCAAATGGTAACACAAAGCCTCTGATCTCCATAGATCACTGAATATGTCAACAAAATCCAAAATAATGAAAATATTGCAGAAGTGAAAAAAATCGTTTTAATTCGCATACGAAATTACATACAAGTCAAATCAAGCTGAAAGCAGTTTGGTATGTCATTACAGATTAAAAGATGTCCAAAATATTCATTATTCATGGTCAACCAGCTTGCCAGACAAGTTAGAAATGTATCCTATATCCAAGGTCAGAGTCCCTCGCCAAATGTTCGCGAATATTTTTATTACATTGACCATCAAGGACAGGTGAGACTTAAAAAACGTTTCAAAACAATGCATGGAAATTGTTATGAAGATGTAAATATAAATTGACAACCATGAGCCCCCTCCCCCTGGATTTGGGAACTTAAAGATGATGTCCACTCCTGTGCGCATGCGCAAACTTTGTTTACGTTTTGAACTGCAATATTTGTAAAATATGATGTACTAACTGAATATCTAATATTTTTCATGTTTGTAAATGAATATAAACTCTAAGTTTCAATTCAAAAAAGCCCTCAATTCAGCCCTTAGGTTAGTTGCAGGATGACCATCTGCCACACAAGCTAGCTTCAAAGTTGCCCAAAGTGCTGATGTGGAGAGGGGAGATTGGGAAGTTTGTCCCCAGGGTACATTTTCCCCATATAAAATTATTTGTTATATTTAGCTATTTCTTCATGATGCAAGATTGAAAAACTTCATTACCTGTTTTAAAGGTTTGTACTTACAGGGTTGTTAAAACTATAGAATGTAAAACTGGTTTATTGGAGGTGCCCCCTTAAGTCCACCCCTCCCAACTCCTTTCCAAGGTGTCCATAAGAGAAGTACTACTTACACATTGTGTATTTTTTCCTTTAGAAAAAAAATTCCTGACATTTTTCTTCAGACGTTTGAAAATGAACAACACTGGACGATATGAAGAGTTCCCTTACATTTCACCTTGTGGAAAAGAATTTAACTACATACAATGTGACGACAGACCAATTGTCTATACCTCTATAACAAACAGCTCTGATAACACACAGGAATTATTAGACATTAATGGAACGGAGAAACTGACCTATCCTTTTCAACCTGAAAAGATATGCATGTTCCCAGAGACTGGACGTATATATCACCCGGCTGATGAGAAATATGGAGGGGTGGGGCTTATTAAATCAAGCCTCGGTATCGAACTCAGTCACTGTTTTGAATATAGGGACAGAGATAACGAAAGAGAACCTCCTTCACATTTTAACTGGAATGGAAAAACATATGAACTTGATAACTCACTATGGAGTGAAATATTAACTGTAAAATGAAACAGAAAATCTTAATTGAATTACATATCATGTTTCTTGTAAATATGCGTTTAATTTAGTTTCTATTTTCTCTTTATATATATATACTATAAGTTGTATAAAAATAAGTCATTACTACATTATAATTATATGTTTACATAATTATTTCTACTCTTTTTCAAACGTTTTCTGATCAACTAAGACAAAAACATAAAATCAACAGAAATATACAAAGAAAATCCCTATGTACTAAAAAACAAGATTTGCCTTGAGAATCTTCTTTGAAACACTTAGAAAAAGTCATGCATGTTAGACATTGTTACACAATATTTTCGACGGAAAAGTTGCTACGTGATTCTTGGTGCATGGTAGTGAAATGCAGAAGACAGGAATGTTGACTGCGCTAAATAAGAAACTACTACATTGAACGGAAAGAATGAACATTATTTCCTCACTCTGATAACTGTATGACTGTAGGTAATTGACCACCAACCAGTTGATTACCGTCGCTTTATGGTGAAACTGTCGCTCTAAGAAACTGGTGGATTTCCTGACCAGTCTGTTCTGGGTTCCTCATTTAGGCCACGTAAAAAAACAGTTGGTGATCGTCCTTTACTTTTGCCAAAAGTTTTTTAAAGAAAAAAATCCTGAGTGAGCTCTTTTTTATGGGCGGCGGGGACCACCTTAACGTAAGGTGTATATTGACTATATACAATAAAATTTGAAACAATGCACTACGTCTTTAACTACACTAGGTTTTCTCTTCAGGTTTACTAAATATTTGAACCGAGCCTTTTTTAACCCATGATAGTCCTGATGACTGCGCATTTCGACTTGTGGAACTATCAGTCTTTTCCTGAAATAGAATTTATACATTACAGTAAGAACTTTAGCATCCACAACTGTCAACTAGTACAGTTTTACATCAACGTAGTCGTACATATGTATGTGTACCTTAGAATTTAAAATCGAATTCTTAATATTCTCATGCTTCTCTGGAACCCACTCTGTAAACCTACATGGAAAAGGTAAACAATATATAAACAAGAGGGAACTCAAAGACTGCACATTATGCATATTTCTGCAAACGAATTAAGTAGTAGATGCTTCTACTCTGTCCCTCCAAACGATCCCAGAATACACTGTGATCTCTTTTGGGAAAAGGCTAAATTGCTAATTACGTATTCAGTTTTCTCTGCAAGGCAAACTTTTGCCAATTTCTTATTCAGTTTTCGTCCAAACTGAACCAAACTTTAACCGATTTGTCATTGGCCTATTACCATTAACCTTACAAATTTTTATACTAATACGTTTGATATTTTTCGAGTTATCGTGCTAGCAGGCAAACACACATAACCTCTTGTCTTGATTCATCAAAGCGAGGCTAATGTAATTGGTCACTGAAAAGCCCTGATGGGGAGTGAACTGAATAATAATAATTATTATTATTATAATAATAAGTAGTGGGAGAAAATATGTTGTATGTAATGTTATTGTTATTTATACTGTAAGTATTGAATGTTATGCTCAGACACCAGGGATGCTGGGATTCTCTTCACCTCTGTAAAATCATTAACAGTGGGTTCAACCATTTCTGGCGCTGCAATGATCATACAGTAAGAGAGAATGTTTTCATCATTGCATAACTATATATAGATCAGTTAATGCTTGTATATTTAGTTTTTTTTGCAGGTAGCCAAAACAAATTTTCAGTTCGCCATGTGTGGTCCAAACTTGCTCGCTTCGCTTGAAGTTTCATATTGTCAAAATTGAGTGTCCGCTAATTTGCACAAACCCAATTGGTCAAAACTTTTCATACATCAAGCCGGAAACGGAGTTCTGGCATTTAAAAACGGAGTTCTGGCATTTAAAAACGGAGTTCTGGCATTTGAAAAGGGAGTTCTGGCATTTGAAAAGGGAGTTCTGGCATTTTGAAAAGGGAGTTCTGGCATTTGAAAACGTAGTTTTGGCATTTGAAAAGGGAGTTTTGGCATTTGAAAACGAAGTTCTGGCATTTGAAAAGGGAGTTCTGGCATTTGAAAAGGGAGTTTTGGCATTTGAAAACTGAGTTTTGGCATTTGAAAACTGAGTTTTAGCATTTGAAAATGTAGTTCTGGCATTTGAAAATGTAGTTCTGGCATTTGAAAAGGGAGTTCTGGCATTTGAAAACGGAGTTCTGGCATTTGAAAATGGAGTTTTGGCATTTGAAAAGGACGTTCTTTAAATTTTCTACCGTACTCCCTTAAGCATGCATATGACCTTCTGACCAACGATTGCAGTTATCAGTCTCATCATTGAATAAATATTTGTGAAACTCTCTTGAAGAAAACACAAAAGAAATCAAGACCGTGAAGGAGTATTCTCACCAAATAGCAAGGCTCCCAGGCAAAGGAAGTGCATATATTTGATGTAATTCTTAAAAGGGCGTATTAAACTACCACTAAGTTTGTTCAATTAAAGGATGTGCGAACTTGCATGTGAGTGAGTTTTTGGTTGAGTAGAAAATAGGCTTAGCAGACAAAAAATTTGATATATTGTACCTTATTGAATGAGGGTCATCATCAATATTATTGCAAAGTTGTTCGTTACAATTACTTATGTTTTCCACCACTTTTGCTCTGTATGCTTCACTGTCGTTGTTATAGCTAGAAATTAAAACATTAAAATAAAAAATAAGTTTCCCTCTTCTATCATAACTCATTCTGGTGATTCTGCTTAAATTGTGGCAATCCACACTATGCTTACAGCTCGGCGGCTTCTTGATTCACAGCATTAGAACTTTCAATTCTGTAAAACAATCTTCTTGCAAACATCAGAACTTGCCATAAATGATTCACTGTTCTCCTAAGAATTAAAATAGTCCTTTAGCAATTTTGTTTTTTATACAGCTTACATTCATGTTATTGGACCTGGAGTCAGTTGCACAAAGGCGTTGTTTGCTGGATAATGATTTTTTCCAAGTTTTCTAAAACTAGCCGTTGAATGGTGTAACCAGATTAAATTTAAGTATTTCTAATGTAAACTTTTTTCATTCATTATGATGTCCGCATCTGCACTTCCACTGTTTTTTAGGAATTTTTAAAAGGTTGAAAAAACTTTATGATACAAGAAGGCAGATGCATATTAAGTAGGCAGGTAGGTATGTTCACTTCATTTTGAAAACAAGAAAATGTTAGGTAATACAAACAGTTTACGAACCTCCATGATGGAAATGCTTGTTTGACATCGACTTCCCCAGTTTCAAAATTGATCAGTGGATGATAAACAGCTGGTACAAATTTAACAATCTGCAATGATATAGACAAATTGAAAAATTGAGAAGTGATCTTGTAATTACAGATGTCCACCAAATTATTGTATACATGTTAAAGAAATTTGCCGAATTAACAATCACACAAAAAGTGCTTTCTGAGCCTATTTCCAATGTAATTCTTCATTCAAAATGCAAGTCAGTACTTACAGGACAATCACCATCTGGATAATTTTCTGGTATGGTCATGATAAATTTGAAAACACCTTCTTCATAAAACCCATGGTGAATAAATAACACACCATACCAAACTAAATAAGACACCACAGCAAAACCATAATTATCAATTAACTGATTGTCAACATCTCTGAATTAATCAACAAGCTCATGGACTTACTTAAAGGTGTTTTTGCTGCAGGAAGAACATACATTCCAGGGATCATTTGCTTCTGAAGAAGATTACTGTTCAAGAAAATAAATATGGTCACATATAAATGTATGTATTATGCTGTAGCGCACACAGAGTGGTATCAAGGTAATGTGAATTGATGAATCATGTCAATGGTCCTTTAAATCCACGGTTGAAATTTCAACCAAAGCTATAAACATCTCCGTTTCAAGAGCTTTTGCATAAATACAACTACAGGCAGGCCCTGTAGCCAAGAGTCCAGTGTATAGTGCTCTGAACAGGGCTAGGCCTAAAAAAATACCTGTGGTTCCGGTTTCCAGACCAACCCTATTTTTTCTGCTGACCCTATTATTTTTTCAACGTGCGACACTATTTTCGTGCGACACTATTTTCTCCGGGTGGTTTGCGGGCCGCTCATACAGCATGCCAAAATGGCATCTGATGTCACAATAATTATTGCACCAAATTGCCTAAATTCGTCCATAGGAACTACGCATCTCTTGTTCATATTGATGTTGGGACTCCACTGAAAATTGCCCAGCAAAAAACCACGAAAAAAATACCCCCAAAAAAATTATTTCCGACCTACCTACCTACCCTAATTTTTTCACGATATGAAACCGGAACCACAGGTATTTTTTTAGGCCCTACTGGTTGTTCAGCTCTTGAAATTTCTATCATTATAAAACACATGCTCTTCAAATCCTAGATCATGCAACTTAGACAATACTAACTATTCAGCTAATAGTGTATATTCCATGAAGTAAGGTCCATAAGATTTCAATACTGTGGAAGCAGTAGCATCTGATTTTTGCTTTGCCACTGATCTGTTCATGTATTCATCAAGATCTGGACTTGGGATACTTGGCAATCTTTTTCTTTCAGCATTTTCAGCATCTTGCTTTGTATTCTGCTGATTGCCTCGTTCCGGAGAACTGTCAATTCTGTCATTGTCAGACAGAAAAAGCTGTAAAAAAATTAACCCATTGAGTGGCAACCTAAATTGCTGTTAACAGGAATATGGTTTGCAAAAGAAATCTTATAACTACAATTTTGTAAATTATGGTATTAGACTAAGAAAAATAATAAAATAGGGCACATTTCCATTTAAATGGACAGTTATCAGTTTTTTAATGCATTATACTTTGTGCATATTGGCCAGTGCAAATCAATTTGTTAATGGCAATCTGGTTTAATATCAGATACGTTTCTGCTTGCCAATCTGATTTAAGTAAATGAATACAATCCATGGTCGAATAACATTCATGAACCAACATTGTGACACTCTGGTCCAAACAAAAAAAATTTGGTTTAAGGTAATTCCGCAGTAATTGTTCCCGAAATGAGAATGTGCTGAAACTTCCCAGGCTTGTAGTTTATGATATACTTAAAGTAAAATCACACAAAAAAGTCGGGGTCACCGAACTCGTTAAGAAGATATGACAATCACAATATACCACCTTTACCCCAATATGGCACCACCTTGATGCTCATTATGAGTAACAGCAAAATCACAACAGCCCGATAATTATTGACGTTTTTAGCGCGGATTTTGCTTTTGTAAACTTATCTTGTAATTATTTTTGGAAAAATATTGTGTTTTGAGTAAAATGAAACTACAAACGTGTACAATTCTGATCTATAAATGTCTTTTCCACATTTCTTTACATATCTTTCTTGGAGTGCGCAATGCAAAACTGCGGAATTACCTTAAGGTCTCCCACCAACCAGACCATCAACATTTTGTTGAGAGGCCTAAGGATGTGGTGTCTAAATGCTGGGTTGTGACTGGAATAAAACTGCCTTCATTGTCACAAGAACAGTGGGAGAAAACATGTCATATGTAATGTAACTATGTACTATTTAAAACACGATCAGGAGTGCTTTATCAGATATAAAACACGAGTGCACAGTACAAGTGTTTTATATCTGATAAAGCATGAACTGCGAGTAATTTAAATGGCTTAAAAATCTTATGAATTCATTAGTGAAGTAACTTTAATTAAAAATACAATAAATGCTGTCTAAGCGGAGAAAATCAAAGCTAAAGTTTATGTGAATGAACATGATTTTTTATCACATATAAAACCACAGACATGGTAGTGATTTCCTTTGTCTTCCCCTCATTATTAATGAGTTTTTAAGGTTATTTTTACTATAAGTATTAAATGTTATGCTCAGACACCAGACATGCTGGGATTTCTCTTCACCTCCGTAAAATCATTAACAGTGGGTTCAACCATTTCTGGCGCTGCAATGATCAAACAGTAAGAGAGAATGTTTTCATCATTGCATAAACATATATAGATTAGTTTCACTAAACACTATTGTGAAGCAGCTGGTGGCGGACAGCCTAAAATTTATCAGATTAAAAAAATGATAATTCTTAAATTTATTATAGGCAGGTGTATTCAGTGGCCGATAAATAGAAGTGAAATATGTAGTCCAAATTTTCTTTCTCCTCTCAGTATCAATATTTCAGAAGTTGACCGCCATCCTAGGTGGACAATCTTGCCAAAATCCCAGAAAGATCTTGCCTAGCTGTACTCCTTTGTACTGAAACACACCAATAATCAGCCATTATTTAATACGGGCCTCTTCCAGCCCGGGCTGAAATTTCAGCCCGGTTTGAGCTGCCCGGGCTGAAATTTCAGCCCGGGCTGAAACTCAGCCCGGCATGCATGTAATCGCAAATAATTTCAGCCCAGGCTAAAAAACAACCGTTTAATTTAAATGGCTTTATTTTGCGTGTTTGTTTAATTTTTAAATACTTTACATATAAGCACAGTCTCACACAAGTCAAATGGTGGACTAATCAGCGTCTGATTGCTTCAAAGAAGTGTAACACGCTTATTGTCCTATTTCGTGACACTCAGATTATTTCAGCCCGGGTTGATGATATATATAGCTCTGACTAAACTCAGCCCGAGTTGAAACTGCTCATGTAATCGTGATGCAATTTCAGCTCGTTTAACTGGGCTGAGTTTCAGCCCAGGCTGAAAACTCTCCATGTAGTCAGCCCCTAATAAGAGTGTAAGTTGGCTGCCTTCGCTCAAAACATCAAAGTTCTCCTTGATTTTTTCAGGTAGTTGTATCCCCATCAATCCGAAACTTTCCTATTATTTGTACTACCTACTCATGGCACAGACTGTTCTATATTTATATTTTATTCTGTCGAAAATGCTAGACGATTTTACTCGTCAAGGGGAGAGCGCTGTGGTTAAAGATCAAACAGACATTTGGCAGTCAAGTACTCTTTGTTTTGTGATGTCTATCAAAAATTCATTTTATTATTTACAGTTAACACTAACCTACAAGCTACATAAATAGAATAACCGTGAAATGACTAAGTACGTGTGAAATTTACTTTCAACAGCGATGCTCTGCAACATTGCCAACATATAAAATATAATCAAATATTTGATAATTTTAATACCGGTAAACATTCAATATTCTTGCAAAATAAATACATAAAACGCTTACCCTACGCTTTATCTGATACTTCATGTCTTTAAGCATTGTTTTCGGTTTTCTGTTAAGCCATTTGTCTGTTTAAAATGTTTAAAAACGATGAGAAAAGCAAAACAATATACTTGACAACGTGTTGATTGTCTTGAATGGACATTTTGTGAAGCGTTCTCACCCGATTCGCTTACATGTAATTAGGCGCAAAAAAATTCGAGGATTGCACGGCAGCTCAAGCCGCCCCGTGCCTTTCCCCCGGCCTCCCTAAAACCCGCCTGGCACGCAGGCTACCCTGGCCTCAGTCACCTCGCTACACCCCCTCCCCAAATACTTACTGGGGGAGGGGGGGGGGGGGTTGAGACAGTGTGAAAGTGGTTAGTTGTGACCCACCATCGAGAGGACTGGATACCAGCAGGTGTGGTTAGCCTGGTGTACCTCAACCTGCTTTTACCACTAATACTAAACTAGTTACCCAAAGGGACAACCCTTAGCTTAACTGAAGGCTTTCCGGTATTCAGTGGGCTACTCCACCCCGACGAGATGTATCTTTAGGGTTAAGGCAAGGACCTTGGGGTCAGGGATCGCTGAAAGCACTAAAAAACATTTGAGTTCAGTCTACATCAGTTTAGCGCTGCTTTTAGATTTCACAAGCTTCTGGCGTACGAACGTAGCTTTGCCATTTAATATATTGTATACAGTATGAGTCAGTTTCATATGTCCATTAGTTCACAAACCATATCATGTTTAAATGCATTTAATAAGGAACAATACAACACAGTGTAGACAGTGTACAATACAATATTTCATGGCATGCAGCTGCAAATTGGAGCCACTACAAGGCGGGGTGTGGCCAATTAGCCTGACCGAACGCACGATAATTTAATACATCGAAACCTCAAAATATGTAAATCACCCAGCACGTTGAGTGCAGATGTGACCAATCGTATAAAACCGTAAGCTTATCACTTTTGATAAGAAAATGCTACACTTTCGAATGACTCTAAAAGTGTCGTGAAAACGTCAAGATAAAAGAACTGAAGAATAAGAGATAAAATATCGTAACGGTTGGAGCAACTCGTGAAAAAGGTCGCCCTAAATTGCTGTTAACAGGAATACGGTTTGCAAAACAAAACTTTTAACTACAATTTTGTAAATATAGCGGGGGAAAATGGAATCTTATATAACGAATCGATCAAGCAACTCGAAACCTCACTCAAACATGGACGTTTCCCAACCACAGGTAAAAAATGCTTAAAGATATGATATCGATATGATTTTTATAATTTTTCGGTCTATGCTTGATTTTAATAGCTACTGACACTGAACGAATATTAATGAATAGGGCATATACATGTAGACAATAATGCATATTTAAAACGCTCTCCAAATGTAGAACTATTTATACTGTCATATATTTGCGAAAAACACTGGTTGTATATACATACACAAAACATAAAACAGGTATTTGGATGCAATCATTTTATACATATGTCAGTAAATATCTTTTTGACAGGATGTTGTCCGGCGTAGTCTAAAAATTGTCTACACGCTGAGACATTTCGACTGTTCGTTTTGTTACACCTGCTTCGACGCCGTTCTCAAAAAATAATTTGTAATTTTAATGCGCAACAGTATTCTTTTGTATACGAAATCTTTTTAATATAAAACTGTTCAACATCTACTGAGCGTTTTTACGCTGCAAAAATTAATTGCGTTGAGAATTACTCAAGTCGGTATAAGCCATATAAGTTCCTCTGTATAATTTTGTAATGTTCGATCAAATGGAACAATCATAGCAACGTTGGCAAGTTTTTCTTAAAACTAAACATTTTCTTGTATACATGTACGGCCATAAATCATCGATACAGTAAGTTTTCTTTGCATGACATATGCATGGATAAACCGACTATACGTACCCTTGTTGTAGTCAATTTTGAGCCGTACATAGAAAAAAATGGCTTTTTGCAAAGCTGTAAAGCTTCCGTGCGGACAAGAGACTTAACTAACTGGAACAAAATTCAGAAAATACTAATCTGTTAGAGCACAGAGAAAACTGAGCAATGTTTTCAAACAAATTTTTCCGTTGCGTTTGTCCATAATGCAAATAACCATAATTACGTGGGCCGTGCTGGGCACATGCACACAGAGCGTGGGAAGAACCCCCCTCAGTAGCCCATTACGCGTATGAGGTCAAGATAGATTGGCGTATAGCGTTGGAGGTCAACACTTTGTAAATAATTTAAGTAGGACAACCACAACTATTTGAACTTTTTGAAAAATAACTGGGCTTTAACTATGTCGATATTTGTGGAATTATAATGTGCTGTAAATCTTACTGTTTTAATAGCATGCAAGCGAGGGTTGATTAACTTAATTAATCACGATGAAAGCGTGGTAAAGGTTTGCGAAGGAGTAAATAAATACATTAAAAGCTGAGAAGCAAAAAAGGGAAAAGTGTAGAAAAGAAGGGACGAAGAAACGAAGAAATGGAGGAGGGAGAAAGGAGAGAGGCAGTTACACACGTAAAAACACACAAGTTGTTACAAATCTGAAAACAAGTTGTTACAAATCTGTTCACAAGCTGTCGACAAGTTGTCTTCACACTGCTTGTTCCCAGTTGTTGTAACAAGTTTGGAACAAGCTGTTAACAACTTGTAACAAGCTTGATGGCATTATCAGACTTGTCACAAGGTTGTTCTAACAAGGCTGATACAGTCATGATAAACAAGAATGTTACAAGCTTGACGACACAAGGTTGTAACAATACTGCTGTATCACAACTGTATCAAACTTGTTGGAACAACCTTGTAACAAGCCTGATAATATCAACAAGATTGTTACAAATTGTTAACAGCTTGTCCCAAACTTGTTGACAACTTGTGACAAGCAGTGCGAAGACAACTTGTTGACAAACTTTTTACAAGATGTGAGATTTTTGCGTGTGTAGGAGGGAGTGTGTAGAAGGGGGAAAAAGGAAAGGAGAGAGGATGAAAGGAGGGGGAGGGAGAAAGGAATGAGGAAGAAAGAACGGTGGAAAAAGGGAGGAAGGGAAGAGGAAGGAAGACCAAGGGGAGAAGAGAGAAAAAAAGGGGGGAAAAGGGAGGGGGATGGAAGAAAGAAAGAAAGAAAGCAAGAAGGAAGAAAGGCAAGTATAAAAGAAGTTAAAGGAGGGGAATAGACAGGAAAAGGAAGAAGGGAGAAACGTAAGTAAACAAAAGTTGATTTTTTCTCTTGAAGGTAGCAAATCGGCAAAAACAAGACGTAGAGAAATCGAACACCTCTCAGCACGCCAGTGGACAAGCTGAAACACTGAAACGTCGTGTTGCTGTATGTGATGCGACAGACGAAGCAAAAGAAGGCCGCTGTCACATGAGAGTTATCATGAAAAAATTTTAAAGTGTTTATTAATTAAATGTGACTTTTCACAGAGATATATCTGATGTATCAAGCCTAACTAAACTATAGATGAAACTTCACAAATTTTAATGAACGACAACGTTCTCAAATAAGAATTGCATTATAACGAAGAATAGAGAGATTCAGATTTTGACTTCCCGACTACAGCACCGTTGCCATAATATAATTAACCAATCAGATGCTTTTATTCTACCCGAATAATCAATCAAGTGCTCTCTCCTCCGCAGAAGCTTTAGTTTTCCTTCCTTCGCCCAGCGGCTACGCTCGTGTTCCAAGATCCGCCATGTAAAGTGTGGTGAAATGTCCTAGGAAAACTTAAGCCTCTGCGGAGGAGAGAGAATCAAGTGCGTATCCATTAATCAATCAGATGCTTTTATTCTACTCGATTAACCAATCAAGTGCGTATTAAGTCTATGAGAGGTAGCGGTAGTGATAGTAGAAGTCAAATGAGAACCTCTTTAACAAAAACGTTTTTGTCATATTCGGGTCAGATTTATTCCAGAGACGGATGCAAGAGACGGATGATCTGTCTGGACCACAAACTTGGGCAAAGAAAAGATAGCTCGTCCGATCGTTCGTGTGTAAATACGGGAAAACTGACAGATCATTTGAAAGTTTAAGCGGATCCTCCGTCGTGTTGTGTTTATCACTACGGCTGAAATAATCCGTCCTTGTGATGACCAGTCTCTGGTATAAATCACGCAATAAAATCTGCAATTCTGAAAAGGATGAAAAACGTCTCGTTCAGTTTGTAGTTCTAAGATGTACCTGTAGTCTTCCTGAAGGACCTACTTCTGAGACATGGATTGTACTTTATGTAAAGCATAATAAATTCCTTTCATAGCTAAAAGTTGTTCATGAGTTCCACGTTCTACAGCACGGCCTCGTCTGATTACAACAATACAGTCCGCATGTTGAATGGTTGACAGACGATGTGCTATTACCAATGTTGTTCGACCAACACTTGCGTTGTCCAGGGCTTGTTGCACTACCTGAAAACGAATGCTTTGTTAATGTCGTCTCTAACAAAGAGTAGGGAATCACGACGAGAATAGGCCAATCTATATTGGAGAAAGTGCATTTACCAATTCTTTGAATATCTTCTTTTGAAACACATGACTGGCATTATCTTATGCCACATTTTGTAGTATCGGGCCAACACATGTAGATCCGGCCAACATATTAGCGTATACTACAGTACTAAATGCATAACATATTTAATATGAATTTTTAATACATTTTTGAAGAAGTAACATTTCACCTTTTCACTCTCCGTATCCAAGGCTGAAGTTGCTTCATCCAGTAAAAGTACTTTAGGATTACGAATCAACGCTCGTGCAATGGCGACTCTTTGTTTTTGTCCTCCTGATATAAGAGTACCCTTGTCACCCGCCATCGTGTCGTAACCCTGGAATAATTCACCAGATCTACATTAGTTTGTAATGAATGTCCCTTCTTTCTCTCCTTCATTCGTTTTCTTCCTTCCATCACTTTGTTTCCCTCTTCTCATATGTATTCCTTTCTCCACCTTTACCTTCTTAAAATTTCTCCTCCAATCTTTGCCTCCCCTCTATCTCTATTTTACTCCCTTCACCCCTCCCCTCCTTTTCTCCCTACTTCCCTTCCTTTTTCCTCCCTTACCTCAATCCATCTCTCTATTCCTTCTCTCTTTCTTTCCCTCCCTGCTTTCTTACATTGCTCCGCCTGTTCCTTTCTCCACCCTTCCTCCATCAGTCCTACCTTACCTCCCTTACCTCCTCTTCCCTCCCTCTCTCCACTCCCTCTACTTCTCCCTCCTCTATCTCTCCCTCCCACCACCTCTCCCTCCCTCCACCTCTCCCTTTCTCCACCTCTCCCTCTCTCCACCTCTCCATCTCTCCCTCCCTTCACCTCTTTCCATCTCTCTCTCCACCTCCTCTCTCTCTCTCTCCCTCCACCTCTCTCTCCCTCCCTCCATCTCTCTCTCCCTCCCTCCATCTCTCCCTCCATCTCTCTCTCCCTCCATCTCGCTCTCCCTCCCTCTACCTCTCTCCCTCCATCTCTCCCTCCTTCCACCTCTCTTCTCCCTCCCTCTATCTCTCCCTCCATCTCTCCCTCCCCTCATCTCTCTCCCTCCCCTCATCTCTCCCTCCCTCCTTCTCCTATCTCTTACTAAAGTCTCACCTTTGGTAAGCTCGCAATGAACTGATGGATATTGGCTGATCTTGCAGCCTGTTCAATTTCTTTATCACTGACTTCTCTTGTAGTATCACCGTAAGCAATATTTTCTCTGATGGTCATGTCAAATAACACTGGTTCTTGAGATACTATACCAATTTGATGACGTAACCATTTGATGTTCAAATCCTTTACATTATGAGCATCCATTGTCTAAAAAATAAATGATATAGAAACTCACTCAATTATTAATATGGCAGTGTTTTTATCTGCGACTGTTCATCATAGAAATACTTTACCGTTTCGAGCGAAGGCCTCTTCTTCTGGATGTTTTCAGATAGTTCAGTCACAAACCACGACAGCTTATCGTAGAATACTACCTACACTGGACTCCAACATTTGAGATATCTTTTCCAGGTAGTTCAGACACAAACCACGACCGAGCTTATTGTAGAATACTACTTACACTGGACCCTACGTTTGAAATATCTTTTTCACGTTGTTCAGACACAAACCACGACAGCCTACTGTAAACTTACCACACTTCCGTTGATCACGTCATAAAATCGTTCGACCAATGAGACGGTGGTACTCTTGCCACAACCACTTGTACCAACCAAAGCTATAGTTTGACCTGGCTTCACGGTGATGTTCAGATTACGTAATACTTTGATTCTACGTCGAGTTGGATATCTGAAACCGACTTGATTTAATTTGATTTCACCTTTACATTTTTCCTGCTAGAATAACAAATCTGTCTTAATATGAACCTTTCATTTAGTCACAGGTAGTCTAAACACTAAATATAGCTTAATTTACTCAGAGCGGAAAGCTCAGCTTAATTTACTTGTGCTTACCGGTTTCATGCCGTCCTCTGATTGGTTATCGATAGAAGGAACATAATTGATAAGAGTGAAAACTTTTTGGGCAGCAATTTTTGCTTTGGCATAATCAGGGGTGAAGGAGCTTTGTTGTCCAACAACAACAGCTGTAGCAAGATACGTGAATATAGTCCTAAATAAATACATTTAATATTTAAATTTTATATTTGAAGCAGTATTTGAAAGGACACGAAAATTACAATAATATTTCTAAATATACTTTTGTTGGAAAGATCTTTCAAGATGATATATGGTATGTCATTCTTTAACGTTTTTCCTATCTCCTTTTGTGTATCAAGATATTGCATGGTGTTGGTTTGAAATGCAATTACACATTCAAATTTCGACGTAACACTGTATAATGTCTTATTATACATTATAGTGAGTTATCGATCATTGAGTTATCGTAAAATTTGAAATATCGACATTCTCTGTGAATGTCCACAACAAGTTAATTGAAATCCTTACGTCATCATTTCTTTCAGCGTGATGTCATAGTCGACCAGCAACTTGGCGCCATAACGAAACGTGGCGGCAAAAGCGAAGTTCACGATACAGTAAGTTAAGCCAGTTGCCAAACCCATTAGATGACTGCTTTTCTTCGCTTTCCTAAATAATCAAGAAGAGATTCTTCGTATGTTAAGACCTATTTCCACTCAAGAAAATTTCCACGGACAAAAAGTTTTCCGAAAATATCATTGTTAAAAGTTGAAAAATCGGCGGAAAATTTGTGTCGGCCAGCCAATCACATTTTACAAAAATTTTCTTTCTGCGAAAAATTTTCCTGAGTCGAAGTGCGCCTTTACGCAACACACACACACAAAATTACAGAGCATTAAAAATTGTTGGGAGTCCCGGGTTCCATCCTTGATCGGACCTCTATTTAAGGTCTTAAAATAATTGAGGAGAAAATGCTACCTTTACAATGACATTTGTAAATGGTTAGACTTTCGCGTCTTCTCGGATAAGGATCACATTAAAACCGTAGGTACCTCAGTGAGCGAGAAACTGTAAAAAGAGTTTTTAGGCCAACTGCAAATGACTTATAAAGATATATTAGCCCGTTCGCCCTCTCATATAAACAAGCACTTAGATATGTTTGCGGTTTACATCCGCATACCTGTAAGGCACGGCCATTGCTGTACGATAACGTTCAAAAAATTCTTCCTCTCGACACAAAGATGCAACTGTTTGAATATTCGCAATTGTCTCCTCTGCAACCTGGAAAAGCAAAGAAAATATTCAGGGATGCCGGAACGATAAAAAGACAAGGGGGGCAAACGTACACCAAAATGCACCTCTATAGACCCAGGTGAAGATATAAACCTACGATACAATTATGTGTTGACTCGCCAATCAAAGCAAACAGGTCACATTCAAGATCACACCTCATGCTTTTGCCCAAAAAACATCACTGGAAATGTAATCTATCAGGTAGTATTTTATAACTCAAAGAGCACTTCTGCCCCCCTTGCACCTCCTAGAAAAAGGCAAGAGGGGCAGCTGCCCCCCCTGCCCCCCCCCCCCCAGTTCCGGCGTCCCTGAAAATATTCCAATAAACATTTGTAAAAATGCACTTTAACTGTTATCCCAACAGAACGCCTAATTTTACGACACCATTTCCCGGATTTTCACTGGTATGCTACACCATCCCTCAAATCCCAGCTTGCATGCCTCGTGGATTCACTACAAACACTCATATATATTGATGGCAAATATCACAATATTTTAAGTCCAAAAATCTCGCCCACTCCACTACATTTATAAAATAACAGCAAATTTCAGGCTGCCCGTTCTCTTGTGCCCGCGAATACCGCCTGCTACGCAGGCTATAACACCCAGATCTTTACCTCCTTACCACCATATTTTCTCGGGTACTATACCGCCACCTCCCCCTTCATTACGACCCTATCTCCAAACGTCTGCACTGACCATCGTGGTTTCCTCCTCCGTATTTTCTCACGAGCTAGTTGCCCACCTCCCATCACCCCTGCTTTGATTATCTCCTCCCTTTTCCCATTCTCACCCCTCTCTAAGAGCCCTGCTTTACCTTCGCGGCGTCTTCCTCCATATTTTCACGGTTGCTAGCCCCCAATGCCTTGGTGAACATGACACCAGATACTACCAACACCGGAGCAAATGCTGTTATCAACAAACTTAGTTTCCAACTTGTTAAGAATGAAACAAGAACTCCACCGGTGATTGAACACAGAGCAGACGAAATAAATCCCAGCTGAGAACCTGTTGCCTAGGTAAAGATAATGAATTAAGATGCCACAACATTTTGAACATTATTATACTATACCTAATAGGGGTATCATCATTAAAACAAGTAGACCGAGCAATCTATTGCACTTGCCTCGTGTTGGATTAGAATCCACTAAGAAATCACTTTTTTATAATGATTGTACTGTATTTATTCTTAGCTGCATGTCTATATTAATCTGAAGCCTGTACTTCTTGTACTTTGTTGTTTTTCAGTAATGCAGGGTAACTGTTGATATGCTTAAATAAAGTTTTATCTATCGAAAGGCCCCGCGTTTACATGAGACAGGGACGAAGTCAAACCGGGACGATTTTCAATTTCGGTCATAGTATTATTTATAATAGATTTTTACATGAGACCGGGACAAAAAATTGCTGAGACCGGGTCTGAAGTCATCCCCGCTCGCTGGACCGAGCCGGCTATCGACTATACAGACCGGGATGAATTCGGAGCGAGATGAACGCAAACAAAAATACATTTCGTCTCGGATGTGCTCTTCTTAGCTTCGGAACAATATGTGCTCACAAAAGCACTGTAAAAAAAGGAAATATCGGGCAAGGGGAAGAAATTTTCAAATTTCGATTTTCATCTCGTTTTAACTTCGTTGCAGTCTCTTGTAAACGTGCCTATCTAAAGTGTAGTAGGACATGCTTACTAGAAGATCATGTTAGAAAAGGCGTTTTCTAAGCAATTACAACTATACTGGGGTACATCCCTAATGAGGGCCTTTTCCCCAATCCCCCTACACATCTCAAGTATATACACTAAGACCATTCTGTACTGACATATATAAGACAGGATGTCAAGAATGGTAGAGAATAAGAGAAATAGGCAGGTCCAGATTTTTGAACGAGGTTGATCAATGATCAGTCTTTTTTAGTAATGATAAAAAATGCCCAGCATATCTGGAAATATTGCCTAGCAAAGGGCCTAGCTACTACGGTAAATCCCCCAGTAGTTATATAGTTAAAAAATGCCCTGATATTAAAGGACGTTCACCTACCCCTTGAACTGCAGACACCTCCGAAGACAATCTTTGACACAATGCACCAGTGCTGTTCTTTGGATTGTCAAAGTAAGAAATTTCCTGCGCGAGAAAAAGTTATCATTTGATTCATTTTAGTGAATTAGTTCACACTTTCAAAGAAGATCTTTAGAAAGATCTTTTGAAAGATTAGAAGGCAAATTGGAAGGTCACGATGTCAGAAGGCCATCTATATGGCATTTTGCCATAGGGCAATTTTTGAGAGATTGCGAAGCCGTAGAGAAAGTCAGGGGCACTTTTCCAGAATATTACACAGGGGATACTGCAAAACTGAGAAATCTACAGACTACACACTCTCTCCGCTTGATTTTTCTGCCTAACAAAAGTGGATTGATTTAGTGGGTGATGAGCTGTGACGTATTTCATTGACAAGATAGTCATGATGTTACCTGTCTCATGAGAGCTAAAAATGTTTGTCTTCTTAATCTTCGAGTGAGCGCTTCTCCCGACTTTGCAAACATCCACCACTAAAAATAAACACATCTATATTAAAGACTCTACATACACTGAGTTTACAAGCTGTACGTTAATGTAATCATCTCGGTTAGTATCCTGCATTATCATTCTATAACTTGATAACTAAACAGATCTCTGTACAGATCAAGTAAATGCCATCCTTGTATTCCTTGTTGGTTTAATGTTACAACAAGAGGAAACCTAAACTAAGCTAGTAATATTTATACTGGATAGATCTATCACTTCTGAATTGTTCTTTTTAGGTCCAGTGTCACCACAGGAGGAAATCTAGACCAAATACAGCTATACAAGTTCCATGCAAACTTTCCTCGCTAGAGATCCAGTTAGAGTAAGAGACAACTTACCATTGTAAGTTCAGTTTTGCTACCGTAGCAAACCTGAGCAAACCTACGGTTTTGGTAGAGTTGAGGCCCATTTCCGCTCAAGAACAATTTCCACGGACAGAAAATTTTCCAAAAATACCATTGCTAAAGTTGAAAATTTTCAACTTCAAAATTTTTTTTCCGACGGAAAGTTTGTGTCGGCCAATTACTTTTTACAAAATTTTCTTTCTGTGGAAAATTTTCCTGAGTGAGAATGGGCCTTAATAAATCATAAACTCACTTGGAAAAGTATCCCTAGTCCAGTTCCAACTCCAATAATCATGAAAGCAATCGCCCATTTGATAGCGTCATCTTTCATTTCCTCTCGTTCGTCTTCTATATCAGGATCATATGACAATGTCTGAAAATAAAAATACCTTTTCTCTACCTGTTCCGATTGTTGAGCCCTGGGGAAACTAGGAGACGTTGTTGCAGTGTATGCTTCTAACCTTTTAGAATGATTTAACAAACACCGCAGTTTATTGCAGGTAATAAGATAAAATGTTACTTACTTCAAACAGTCGTCCCATAATGAGACCATATAAGAAAGGCATGCTTCCGTAAGCGAAAGAACCAAAACAACCGAGTAGTATATATCGCCATTCCGACTTGTTGTGTCCAAGAATTTTGAAAAATGATAAAGGTTTCATAGGTTTAGTGTCTTCTGTCTAAAAATAAAATTTAACTAATAAGTTGTAACTCTTTTGCACACGGGGCATCGTTGGGGCAGTCGTCAGAATGAGCGCCTTTCACCACGATTCTTTCTGAAAAATGACTCAGGTAGTCAGGTTTCACAGGCTTTAGGGGCGGACCATTTGATTTTTGAGGGGGGTGGAAGATTCAGTCTGTGCAAGAATTTTTTTTCCGCCCAGGCGAAGGAGACAGATATTTTTTTCCTGTAAAAGTGCAGCGCAAGATATTTTTTTCCCAATATATTTGGCCGCAGGATATTTTTTTTTGCCTCTCATAATAACGGCTTACAGCAACTTTAGGCTTTCATATAGCTATCATCGGAGACGTAGCAGGGGTTTTCAGTCAGAGGAGGCCGAGAACTGAATCCCAAGAGGGGCCAAGGAATTTTCACTGTGCTTTATTTTATATGGTTATGTCTTAATGTTCCCCACACTAAAGCGTGCAAGTTTACTTACAAAGAATGTACACTGCACCAAAACCTAAAACATGCAGGGATAGAGTAGAGTACTCGAAAATGGGGGAGGGTGCAGTATATGAATGACCTGTAACCTTGGGGGGTTCGGGGCATGCTCCCCCGAGAAAATTTTAAAATTTGAACCTCGGAAATGCTATTTCCTGCGTTTTCAGCCATGGATAATTATCTTAAGCCCAGATTTTCTCAGGGGGGCAACAATTTTGCCAGGGAACACCACTGGCTATCGTATGTCAGAGGCTCCAAAGGCGGTAGAATCCCTGTGATGTTATCCACTGTTCACCCCGTGTTCTTTTAAGCAAATGTGCCTGCTCAAAAATGCAAAATCTTGCAAGCCTGTGGACACAATACTGAAGTGAAGAGCATCAGTAGAGTTACATGTAGAAAAATGTTTTTTGAGCGCTCTCTTTTGCATGATATTTTTTTTCTCGATTGTGTGCTGCATGATTTTTTTTT